GATAGAGATTAATGAACGGCATACAGTAAAGTAGAATTGTATTCCATAGTACCTAATAAAACATACAAATAGACACACAAAAAAGATTTTAAAACATTTTACAACATGACACGTATAAGCAAGAAAATATCGGTCATCCCTTTCAGAAATTTTTAGTTACAAGTTATTTAACAATGACGAGGGATATTTTGAAATACTGTAATGCGTCATAATAGAAATTACATTCCTTTAATTTTTAATACACTGAAATTAGCTGTTGACTCTGCAATCCTCATTTGTATAACTCTGTTGAATAAAAGTTAAAAAATTATATTGGTTGTATTTTTGGTTTTAAGTAACCAATAGAGTTACGTGTAAAATAACATTTCGACACCCCTGATATGTATAAATTTGGAATTCAGTTCTAAAAATATGAGACAAATTTACAGAAGATTTCATTAAAGTAATTTTAAAACATCTTATTAGATATTTTTCTTTGATATTTACAAAGGACAACTGTATAAATACAACCATCTAAAGCCGTATTACCACATTGACAGTCAATTAGATCAAACGTTAACAATGTGGAAGTCAATTGTATCTGTCAATACGTCTATGTCTATTTTATGTAAACAGGTATGCTGACCCGAACATGAACAAGAAATCTTATTAAAACTTAGACATTATGAAAGGACTATTCATATAATAACGTTTCATATACAAAGGAAAACACACAAACAAATGCAAATACTTTTTGTGTATTTATTTTAATTTAAAGTAATTTTGTACGTTGCAGCCATGTTTTTTTTGTTTCTTTTTTTATAGGGACAATGAAAACGAAACAGCAGAAAACATGGCTGCAACGGGAGAATGTAACATTTTCCCCCAAAGAACAGCGAAAAGAAAAAACAAGTCTGTACCGTACAACATAACTTAGAAATAAAGATTCTTTTGGTAGTGATTATAATAATCTTTCGTAAAATATATGATAAGTTTCAAATGCTAAATGTTTTAGTATCAGTTACCGTGTTGTTAAATCGGCGGGTACATTTGGTACAAGTTTGAAACTATTCACCCTTTATTTCGATATGGCAAAGTTAGGTTCACCATTTGTTGTTTACTTTATAGTGAGTATCATCAGGATGACTGGTGACATCTATCCTCAATACATATAGATTATAACATGGCATTTTTCATATCAGACCCCTTATCAGCCCGAGAGCCGACAGGCTCGAGAAATGATTTTGACCATGAACTGATAAGGGGTCTGATATGAAAAATGACATGTTATGTTCTTTTTATCACATACTTCAGTAGAAGCCATACAGACTTTTTTTTAAAACTTTATAAAATTCATTTATTGTATTATTTGTTTTGCGTTTTTTAATAATATATTTTCCTGTTTCCTAATATTTCTTCTGTTTTTCTAGCTATGTTTTTCACTTGAATGTACCACTGAGGTTTATTTTCCGGAATTTGCAGAATGACGTCGAAATGCGTTGCGATTACGTTAAAGAAAGGCATGCGATAATAACCGGAAGTAGTTGATATAAACTCGAAACAGTTGATATATACCGGAAGCAGTTGATAACAAAAGACATATCACACTGCTAAGACAATTCCTCAAAACTATTGAATAAATATATGTATAAATTAGTTTTATCAAGGAGTACAATTATAACATTATTTTCTACAAGTATATGATAAAGTCACTTAAACCATTGTGGTGACGTCAGCCTATTCATTTACCGTGGATTCTTTTTCTAGAATCAACGCTTCCTAAATCTGCCGCTGAAATTGACTCACCAAATTATATTCAATTGTTTCCTTTGTGTGCCTAATTTCATTAAGTTTGAATTGGCTAATTTACTGATTTCTGTTCACTAATGGAATTAATTTAAAAACTTACCTTTAATTTTTGTAATTTTTATATGCCTTCACTGGGAATCGAACCCTTCCTTGAAATCTGTTATGTGTGACTGACATCAACACATCCACGAAACCTCTCGGCTACCAATGGGTTACACTATAGATGTCTATTTTATATATTTAAATGAACATCTGATATACATCGGTTCATCGGACACACAGGGCTTGTACCTTTATATAGACACAATAGGCAGTCGTATAGTATGAGTTGGTAGCCGCGAGGTTAGCATGGTTAAAATCAATGAGTTAAAAGATAGGGATTTGTCGGTTTAGGTTCGAATCCCTGTATTCTCTCTGTTGTTCCAATTCTTAAGTTACCCTGTTTTTTTTCAAATTTTGCATGTTATAGTGGATATTTTTGTAATAATAGCGAGTTTTACCGGTTTTTTTTTATTATTATTGGCTATTTCACATGTTTGAAACAAAAATCATTACATTTTATTAGTCAATTTTTTTTTTATAAATATAGTATTATTTCATCTGTTTTACTACATAATTTTACAAAGGTTTGTTCGCAAATTCCTATGCGAGAAAATCGTGATGTGCCTAGAGTGCTAGAAAAATTTCGATAACATACTTATTATATATACTTTATATATGCTTTTTGGTCGGGTTGTTGTCTCTTTGACACGTTCCCCATTTCCATTTTCAATTTTATTAGAAATAATTTCGAATATGTCTTATTTTGTATAAACAGATAATATTCATATGCCTGGTAATATAAAGATCTTTAAAGGTAGAAGTGTTATATTTGTATTTTGTTAACCAATTAATTGTGATCTGAGATTTATCAATGCATCGTTGGACACGATAACATGGTTATTTAAACTCACTTACAATACCTTCTAATTAAGAAAAGGCTTTAATTTTGAAAAGAAATTAACACAATAGTTTAAGTTATAGATACAATGGATAAGCGTAGATTCATGAAAAACAAACCATTCGCCCTCCGGGCTCATGGTTTCTTTTTCAAGAATCCACGCTTATCCATTGTATCTATATAACATATCACACCTTACGTTTATTCAAGCTTGCAATCTTAAAGTTTACAGTTTCCGTTGTTATTGCCTAATGATAGTTAGATCTTAGAAGGATGAATGTTCTGATAAGCATTGATCTAGAACTTTTAATATTGTTGTCTTTTCAAAATTTCTGTCTGAGCTTACCTGAAAAAGGTAGTTCAAACTTTGAGCGAAAAGATACCATATCATACGTTGTTGTCTTTATAATTACACATGCACCTGTATTTGACTTTCTTTGAGGGACATACAGTCTAGATCTTGTTTTGTTCAAATATTCAAACATTTGACTCAAAAAGTTTTTAATTCTGATGCAAGTTTTGGTAAAGGTAGATAAGTACTTGTAGTTCCCGAAAAGAAAATTGTCTTCCAATGTCAATTCTTTGTGGGCGCACTTGTGTCGAATCGGTCAGAAAAGCAAAAAATTACAGGATAAAAATAACAGGTTATGACCATACAATTCTTTCAAACAAACACATGCAAAACCCATAGGCAAGATAATCTGACAGAGTGTGTAACAATAAATTCTTCAGTAAAATATTTCCTTTAAAGAATTATTTTTAAGTTCTTCAATAGTGAACAATTTTGGTAGTTTAATTATTCTTTTGTCAATATCACGGAAAAGAGGTCATGTCTATTTATTCATCTAACTATTTACCGTCTTTATACCTTTAAGAAAACTTAAGCAGGCAATTACAAATCAAACTTAAAGAACAATCAGTCAGATAATAAAGTAGCCAAATATGAAATATTGTGTTGGCTACATTAAAGATATTAACGAAATGACATAAGGAAACGAAAACTGTTCACTTTGTATAACAACAGTTGTTTGATATTTTAACAAAGCATTGTTCGGTATGAAAAGAATATCCATGCGTCACTATTTATCACGACATTTCTGAAGATATTTCTTGACTAGAATTTATTGGAAGCTGTATAAATATGATTTAACCTTGTCAGTCAATGTATCTCTGATAACAATTACAACAAAGGACATGCAACATTTATTAGCGCGAGAATCAGAAATCATCAATTATGCAGTCCAATACTTGATGCATTCATATTTTGACATTGCACGTATGTTGTCTTGATTCAGTACATGGAATGTGCTAATCGTTTAAATTGCTGATTGATTGATGTTTGGGTGCCATATTGCTTTGCATTATAATGCCGAAAAATAAATAATATGAATACCCTCGTCCGGTCTGTTATAATTTAGGCCGTTAGTTTTCTCAATTGAATTGTTTCATATTGTTCATGTCGGGACCTTATAGCCGACTGTACGGTATGGGTTTTCTCATTGTTGAAGGCCGTACGGTTGCCTAAATTGCTTATATACATTTCATTTGAACTTAGGTGGGTAGTTGTCTCATTGGCAATCATACAACATCTCCTTAACTTTATATCATAAGTAAAACGAATGACTTGAAAATGGTTTTTTAATTCAATTTTGTTTTCTCGATTTTCACATTTACCAAAATGTTTTCTATTATAACTATTTGAAACGAACTGAGTGAGAAACAGACATGTCAGGACCCTTTTGCAATATAAAACTAAGTAATCATTTAAGCATTTATGGCTATAAAGAATTTATAAATGCTTTTGTTTAGACTATTTAACGGTATTTGATATGCATCTATCAAATGGACTTGCACTATACACTTATATAAATCAAAAGTTGATGTCTTACAATTTGGGAATTGTAATGTAAGTTTTAAGTATTGAATGAAACAGAAAATATATTTTGAAAGGAAAAATAAAATATATTATTACTTGTACTATTAAACTATAAAAAAAAAGTTAATTTGTATTTTTTATGTAAAATTTTGTTTACTACTGAAACAAAGATATTGAAATATTCACAGTCACATATATTATCACAAAAGATGGGTTAGCAGGCTGAACTAATGACAAATCGGTGAAAAACGCAGATATCAGAGTATTTCATGTTACATGAACAATGACAATCAAAAGAACATGTCAACAGTTAACAGTACCACTAAAAAAATCTATAAGGTAAAGCTTTAACCCTTCTTGCAAACTTGGATTTTTTTTTTTATATAAAGAACATACCCCATCCTCTTCTCTGTACCAAATTCTCTTCTTTAGTAAAGTAACTAGCTGATATCGCATGATCATTCCGGTTAAATTCCAGTGAGCATTTTTCGGAACAGTTTCTTCTCTAAAAAAATAAATCATTAGAAATGATCTTTTTCTCCAAATGGAATTGGTAATAATAGATAGATTTCAGATGCTGGTTTTTAATAATTCATTTTCCTTTTTATATTGCATTTCCACCCCCATATTTGTATGCAACAATTGCGAACAACCCAAACTATATGTATAAATCAACTAGAGAACAGGATCAAAATTTTGTACGTCAGATTCGCGTTACGTCTATAAAAGACTAATCAGTGACGCTCGAATCAAACAAGTTCTAAAGGCCAAATAAAGTAAGAAGATGATGAGCCTTGAGTCCAAAAATTCCGAAAGATGTTGCCAAATAAAGCTAATATAACAATAAGAAGATGTGGTATGAATGCCAATGAGACAACTCTCCAAAAGAGACCAAATGACACAGAAATTAATAACTATAGGTCACCGTACAGCTTTCAACAATGAGTAAAACCCATTCCGCATAGTCAGCTATAAAAGGCTTCGAAATGACAAATGTAAAACAATTCAAACGAGAAAACTAACGGTCTGATTTATGTACAAAATAATGAATGAAAAACAAATATAATATACAACAACAAACGAAAACCACTGAATTACAGGCTCCTGACTTGGGACAGGCACATACAGAATGTTGCGGGATTAAACTAGTTTGGAGACGCGCCAACCCTCCTCTAATCTGGGACATCTATCCGTAGGATAGAAAATTCTTAGTATTTTGAAATATTCAGTTTTGTTAACAGTTAATTTATAAATATGAACATTTTATTGATAATTCATGTCAACACAGAAGTATTGACTACTGGCTAACTGAACTCTTGTAAGTAGACAAAGCTGTATCAAAAGGCAAAATACATAAGTAATTAGAGCTAATTTCCTAGTGCTTGTAGAGTAAGACTTTGGTTGGCTTGCTTGCTATGTTTGTATGAGCGTTTGCTCAAGCAGTGTAATTAAGATAGACATCTGCAAACAATATAGATAGGCATAGTTAAACCTGTATATATTATATTTAAATTTGATTGGACGTTGTCTTAATTACAATTGTAAAATATACAAACAAAGCAAGCAAGCTAACCAAAATTTTACTCTACATGCATTAAGAAATTGGCTCTAAGGGAATACTTCAGTTTTTGTTTAAATTGTTTCGTAAAATTTAAAAATGTCATTCAAATTAATTACATTCTGACTATACTGTATTATATATTACATAATGTCATTGATTGGTCAGAAGTCTCGGTGGACGAGTGGTCTAAGTAGTCGAACTGTTGTATCGTAAGGCTGTCAACACTTATTGAGATTGTGGGTTCGAATTCGGCACGTGGCAAGTGCGTTCGACTCCAATCTTAATTGACTATGATTGTCGGTTTTCCTACCAAAGGTCGGTGGTTCTCTCTGGGCACTCCGGCTTTCTCCGTAAAAAAAAACTGACCACCACGAAATAGCACAATATCGCTGAAAATGGCGTTAATCACCAATCAGTCAATCAAAAATGTCTTTCAAATTCTTTACATTCAGGTACATTTTAACCAAACTGTATTATATATTACATAATGTCTTTGTAATCAGCCTGGTATAGTTAAGATATTTACTGTATAGACCACGTAATCCAATGGTTTGATGGACAATATGGTTCATCCAGAATCTATAGAAATAGTATTTGTTGCGTGTATCAATAAATTATGACTTCTACCATGACATTGCAATTTCAATTATGAATTTAATATTTCGTACAACGACATCAGATTTATAGTTTTAAGATAAAATAAAATAAAATCGTGTTTTCTTTTAAAATAACACACAATATTCTGTAATACTGATGTGTACATATCTCTGTATACTTTCACTATTTGTAATTTATTTAAAGCAAATAAATTTAAATACAGAGAAAAATCTGAAAAAAGTAAATTAATACGTTAGACGTCATAAAAAAATCCTGGTGATACTCCTGCAAAGATTTATGCAAATCTTAATTGTTTCTCATCAATTATACGCCTACCAGGGAATATAATAAAATTAATGGAAACTGACATTTAGTTACTCGATGTAAAATGTATTGAAATTGACACCCGATTAAATTATCGGGTCGAAGTGTCGTTGATAACTTAAATAGTTACAGGACAAGAACGATGTCATACTTAAATATCTCCCACATATATCATAGGTCTTTTAATAAGTCTGTTAAGGTCCTTGCTCGATTCAAGGCCATTCAGGGGTAAACTGGTGGGAGATATTCCGTCCTTAGAGATATTTTTCATGATCATAAGCAATTAACAATATAAAAAAACATTTAAAAACAAGAAGCTAATGAGAGCCTGATATCGCTCATCTGTAATTTCAGTTTCAGGCATTTGACTTATTTGTAGATCCTACTTTGCTGAATAATTTTGACATTTACACTTTCTCTCTTTCTATAATAATATTAAAGATAATACATAACCCAAAACTGTACCTAAAAATTAACTATTTCTGGACAGTATCCCAACAATAAGTTGTCTTATTGTTCTGAAGATTACTTGATAGGTAGATCTAAACCTGTTTAACACTTTCACCTATGACAGTTTTGCTATTATTGCTCTGGTTTTTGAGATGAAAGCCAAAAACTTCATTTGACCCCTATGTTCTATTTTTAGAAACTGCCGCCATGTCTTTAAATGGATCACATCCCCGAATACAATCTATAAACTAGATACCCTAAGGAACATTCAATTAAAGTTTTTGAATATTGGGCAAAGTAGTTTCAGAGAAGAAGATTTTTGAAAAAAGTAATAAGACTTTCACAAAAAATGTAAAAAAAACATTTTAAGGGCAATAACTCCTCAAGGGGTCAATTGACTATTTTGATCATGTTGACTTATTTGTAGATCTTACTTAGCTGAACATTTATTGCCATTTATACTTTCTCTCTATCTATTATAATATTAAAGAAAATAAACAAAAACAGTAAAATTTAATAAAAATAAACTATTTCCCACTGTAACCCAACAATGGGTTGTCGAACTTGTCTGTCAATTTCAATTCAGATAGATCATGGCCCATTTATCCCTTTAACTCCTTTCACTTTTGCTCTAACTGCTGTAGTTTTTGAGATATAAGCCAAAAACTGCTTTTGTCCCCTATGTTCTATTGTTAGCCAATGCGGCCATGTTTGTTGATGGATCAAATTTTCGGATTCATTTTATAAACTAGATACCATCAGGAACATTCAGTAAAAGTTTGGAAGTATTTGGCCCAGTAGTTTCAGAGAAGAAGATTTTTGACAAATTAATAGACTTGCACGAAAAAATGAAAAAAATAAACCTTTCAAGGGCAATAACTCCTTAAGGAATCAATTAACTATTTTGATCATTTGACTTATTTGTAGATCTTACTTAGATGAAAATTTATGCAATTTACACTTTCTCTCTATCTATCATAATATTAAAGATAACACCAAAAACAAAAAAAAAAAAAACATGAAAATAAACTATTTCTGACAGTAACCCTACACTGGGTGGTCCAATTGGTCTGAAAATTTCATATCAGATAGATCTTGACTTATTCATCACTTTAACTCCATGTCACTTTCGCTTTAACTGCTCTGGTTTTAGAGATAAAAGCCAAAAACTGCATTTTAACCCTATGATCTATTTTTAGCCATAGCGGCCATGTTTGTTAATGGATCAAAATTTCGGATACAATTTATAAACCAGTAGTCCTATGAAACATTCAGTTAAAGTTTAAAGTATTAGGCCCAGTAGTTTCAGAGGAGAAGACTTTTAAATGATAGCAAACATGATGAACAAATTGTGTAAAATTGTCGTTTAAGGGCAAAAACTCCTTAAGGGGCCAATTGACAATTTTGGTCATATTATGTTTTTTGAAGATCTTCTTTGCTGAACATTTTTGCTGTTTACAGTTTATCTTAATCTTCAATAATATTCAAGATAATATCCAAAAAACTGCAAAATTTCCTTAAAATTACCAATTTAATGGTAGCAACCCAATAATGGGTTGTTCGATTCGTCTGCAAATTTCAGGGCTGATAGATCTTGACCTATTGAACATTTTTACCCATGCCAGATTTGCTCTAAATGCTTTAGTTTTTGAGATATAAGCCAAAAACAACATTTGACACCTATGTTCTATTTTTAGCCATGGCGGCCATGTTTGTTGATGAATCAAATTTTCCGATACAGTTTATAAACTAGATACCCTAAGGAACATTCAGTTAAAGTTTGAAGGTATTTGGCCCAGTAGTTTCAGAGGAGAAGATTCTTGAAATAGTTTACGACGACGACAGACGACGGACGACGACGGACGCCAAGTGATGGCATAAGCTCACATGGGGCCCATCGGGCCCGGTGAGATAAAAAAAAACAATTGCCTGTAACACATATCACTGCATGAAGCTGAATATATGGTGAAATTATTATTGCAACAAAACTTAGCCCAAAAATCAAACGGTACTGCTTTTACAGCAGTTACCCCGATCACCGTAGAAGGTGTTATTAAATGTTTGTATATACGCTACATGAACTGCACAACTTGAGCACATGCTTTGGTTCGTACTGTTCAACCGTTTTTATATTCTACTTTATGGTTATTGAGCTAATAGTTTTCTTGTCATTTTATTTTTCTTGTGGTAATTATGTTGCATGACTTTTTCAAACTCAATGACTTTTTGAATCAGAGATCAAGATGTCTACTGAAAACTTAAATGAGGTAGATGCTACCAGCTTTGTCATTCATATATGGATTTTTGCAAAAATTTGCAAGTTAAATTTAATTTCTTCATTTATAGTCTTTACAATTTGGTAAACATCTTAAAGAGTCGCATTCTCTTCTTTCTAAACTATTTTTTTTTATTCTTTATTAAAAGGATGTCTTCGATCTTCAATACATGAGTACTGTGTTTTTTATATATTCATAGAAACACAGACGCCAGTTTCTATTGTTGGTAGAGAAAATCACACTTCTCTAAAAAAAATCCCACTAATTCCTATGACAAACACAAAGAAGTAACCACTATATCAAAATGTTTAAAGTTTTATCGACACATTTTGAAGGATTCCAACAGAATATAAATGGAGACTGGTCGACTTTGTCCTGTACCTAAATGCATGACAATATTTATAAAATCTTCGAAAAAACACAACATAAAATAAAAACAAGAGGCTCTCAAGAGCCTGAATCGCTCACCTGTATTTCAGAGGAGAAGATTTTTAAATGTTAGCAAACTTGATGAACAAATTGTGTAAAATTGTCTTTAAAGGGCAATAACTCCTTAAGGGGTCAATTGACAATTTTGGTCATATTAACTTTTTTGTAGATCTTACTTTGCTGAACATAATTGCAGCTTACAGTTTACATATATCTATAGTAATATTCAAAATAATAACAAAAAACTGCAAACTTTTGTTAAAACTACCAATTTGGTGGCAGCAACCCAACAATGGGTTGTTCGATTCGTCTGATAATTTCAGGGCCGATAGATCTTGACCAATTAAACAATTTTACCCCATGTCACATTTGCTCTTAAAGATTTAGTTTTTGAGATATAACCCGAAAACTGCATTTGACCCTTATGTTCTATTTTTTAGCTATGGCGGCCATGTTTGTCAAGGGATACAAATTTCGGATACAATTTATAAACAAGATACCCTAAGGAACATTTAGTTAAAGTTTGAAGGTAATTGGCCCAGTAGTTTCAGAGGAGAAGATTTTTAAATGTTAGCAAACTTGATGAACAAATTGTGTAAAATTGTCTTTAAAGGGCAATAACTCCTTAAGGGGTCAATTGACAATCATGGTCATTGAAACTTTTTTGTAGATCTTACTTTGCTGAACATTATTGCAGCTTAAAGTTTATATATATCTATAATAATATTCAAAATAATAACAAAAAACCGCAAAATTTTGTTAAAACTACCAATTCGGTGGCAGCAACCCAACAATGGGTTGTTCGATTCGTCTGGAAATTTCAGAGCTGATAGATCTTGACCAATTGAACAATTTTAACCCATGTCAGATTTGCTCTAAAAGCTTTAGTTTTTGAGATATAAGCCAAAAACTGCATTTGACCCTTATGTTCTATTTTTAGCCATGGCGGCCATGTTTGTCGATGGATCAAAACTTCGGATACAATTTATAAACTAGATACCCTAAGGAACATTTATTTAAAGTTTGAAGGTATTTTGCTTAGTAGTTTCAGAGGAGAAGATTTTTGAAATAGTTTACGACGACAGATGACGACAGACGACGACGACGACAGACGACGGACGACGACGGACGCCAAGTGATGGCATAAGCTCACATGGGGCCCTTCGGGCCCCGGTGAGCTAATAAATAAATTGGCAAATCGTTGAAACATGTTTTCAGAAGATGCAATTTCTTTTAACAATACATTATTTCATGGATTCAGTGAGAGCTCATATCTCATATATTAGTTCAGATTAAACAATACTTTAGTTAAATAAATTGAATTGCATTGGGGTGGCCTCGGTGGCCAAATGGTCTAAGTAGTTCTACTACTGTAATCACTAGCCAGTCAACACTGAGGTTGTGAGTTCGAACCCCACTCGTGCGGGTGCACTCGACTCCAATCTTAATTGACAAGGATTGTCAGTTTTCCTATCGAAGGTCGGTGGTTTTCTCCGGGCACTCCGGCTTCCTCCACCAATAAAAACTGGCCGCCAAGAAATAGCCCAAATGTGGCGCTTAAAAGTGGCGTTAAAACACCAACAATCAATCATGAATTGCATTGGGCAACAGGCGAATTACTCAGCTGTTTTAACCTTGATTTGTATCTTCTTATTGGGTTAATAAGATTTGAACATCGGTAAACAACTATTGTTTTTATACATCTGGACTTTTCTTAAGATTTAAGATGCAACTAGGACAGATAAAATTTTCCTTTTTCTTTGTAGTATAACATACTATTTGCAAGAACCTAAGGTAATTTCGCATAACAGCTGATACACATACCAGATCATGTAAAAAAATTTAAATATAACAATCAAACGTAAAATTATAACTAAGGAAATTACTTAAAAAGGCTACAATGATTTAAGGACTGATAACAAATATGGTCGCAATTGGTGGAGTATGTTGGTGTCTGAACTAACTATGTGTATGTTTGATTATCACCGATTTATGACTTTCATATTTTACTCAACACCTTACTTAAAAACATTGAGGCCGAACCCGCCATAGTTAACAAACTGAACTAAGGTCAATGATTTTACTTCATGGTATGCATAACAATTGATCACGCTACTATATTTTAAAAATATTTTAATGACAAAAACTTTAAGAGTTCCATTCAAATTCAAAGTCCTGAGTTCGATCCTCGACCGGGTCATACAAAAAACTTGAAAAATGGTATTTGCTGCCTCTATAAGTACTCGGCAGTAATGAGAAAGAACAAAGTAATAATAATGTGCAAGGTAGGGTAACATGTCTTCATGTGGACAGTTATTCTGATAACAACAAGTTAAAGATAAGGCTCAGCATGTCGGTTAAGTACAACGAGGACTTTATGTTTGTATCACATCAACATGTTCTTGTCATGATATGCATGTAATATGACAACGGAGGTTGACACTATCTATCTATCCATCAAATCTGCATCCTTCTCCGCAGAGTGAATGACACATTTGATATAGCTGCGGTTAAAATGTCGGACAATTCATGTATTTTATAAATTAATTGCATAAATAGAATGCTTTGTAACTCGTAAACATGTATGATGAATTCATTCTTCTTTTATAACTTTGATCCTAGAAGGTTTCGATGCATCATTTCAATAATATACATTGTATCTCCATGAAATGATATGCCTGTCACAGTCGAAAATGTTGTCTTTAGGCGTTCGTGGTGCAGGTAAATCCGGGAATTCCCTTCGAACACAGCAATTTGTTCAATTTCAAATTGCAGCACAGTAGATAATATATATAAAGAACCAATAGCTAATCACATACCACGAGAGTGATAGTCGTTTCTAAAATTTATGTCCCTACTAAAACAACTTTTTACGGACTTCGACTCTTATTTTGACTGTTTAGTATTGAGAAAATCCTAACAGATAAACACAAATTTTATTGAGATCATTTACAGTTCCTTGTATGGTAGTTTACCCTATAATTACTTACTCCAATGATGCATAAAGTTCTAGTTCATCTCCAAACTCCTCTGAATCCTACAAGCAAATATAAAGCAAAGTCATTTAGAATCTTGTTTTACATGTAGCCTTTGAGATATGGTACATTATACATGTTATTATTTCAACTGTTATTATTTTTTTTAATTTTATGTCTTTATTACTTGTTCACACTCCTTCACAAAAACAGTAATTAAATAAAATAAAAAAAAATACATTAACATATTTAAGTGCAATATGCGATATAACCAATTTATTCGGTATATCTTATAGGTTGTTATACATATCGTCAATTTGGCCAAGTGATCTGGATGGCTGGTTACCGTGTATATTACCGTGATGTCACAGAAGCATAGGTTCAAATCCTGCTGAGGGATGAACACATATTTATTTCTGCAAATTAGAAGATCCAAAAGTGTTGTCATCGGAGTGTTAAATCATATAAAGTCACTTACTTTCGATGTTTTATATAGAATTTGCGTTTCAAAGAATCCAATAGTCACGTCACAACATCTCAAAGCTTAACATACGTAAAATCCACAAAAAAATATACACGTAACATCGAGACCAAAAACAAAAAAACGAAATAAATGAATCCCCCCCATTTAAGCTCCCCAAAAGACATCCTTTAATACATGTAGTTGAAAACCCAGCAATAAATTAAACATTTATTATACCATAGATATGCATTAACCGTACTAACAAAAAATGAACTAACATCCAAGGGATTTAAATACATCCGTCGGAAGTCCAATGGCAATGCCAAAAAATGAGTAAAAATTGAACATATCAATCTATAGAACAATATAATTGCCTTAATATTCCTCATTTTACAGTCATCAAAACCATAGTTTGGAGCTACAAACCTAGATTTTGAAAAGTTTCATGACATGGTACAAAGCCGAGTTCACTTTACTCTACATGCATGCGCAACATACATCGAACTCGAACATACATCATTATGTTGATGTTATGAAACGGAGCTGTCTAAAAAGGAAGACGTTCAGCAGCTTAGAAGTTCATTCGACCGTCGAAAACTCATTTTCAATATAAGATCATGAATAATACAATAACAGTATACTGATAACAGCTTTTTGTGAAACAAATAATAATGTTACATTGTATATAGGAAACTTGCTCAATTTCTTCTCACAATAACATTATCCGTACACACCTGCGATTGCTTGTTTCGAACGGTGACTACTGGAAAGGCATTATGCGCATTTGTTTTCAATATTTTCACTATAGATGAAACTCTGGTTGCTGGATAAAATACTACCACTTTCTTATTCATGGCGTCGGAAGCCACAAGCCTACGAAAAAGAAAAATGCATGTTATTATATTTGAAAAACTTGAAAAATCAAAAATCAAAACAATGCTTTTGTCTTTTATTTCTATTCAACATGGTCCACACAGGCCAAATTGATGAAACTTACTGTTTGCCTTATGCGAATCGAAAAGACAATCAAAAATGTGTGTCTTACTTTAGAGATTGTCCTTTCTTTAAGGAATAAAACCACTAATTCATAGCCCCACTGCTTTCTATGTTAAATTCTGCAATTTCAAGCATTAATGGATACTTTGTCTTAAGTTCAAATAAAGTGCAAGTCATTTCATGTCAAAACTATACCTTATCCTGACTTGTGCTGAAAAATTCAACATGCCTTTAATTGCATATTACAGCGTACTTGTTCCCGGAAGTTTGATAGTACAAAAACAGGTACTTCTGATCTGAACAACAGGGCAAATGTGCTCTCCTTTTATAATTTGATATACTTTTTTTTATTATTCAATAGAAAATTTCAACAAGGGTTCTATAGTGATCCCAAGTCCCAAAGCTTTCGTTTGATACCAAAACTACCCAAATATTTTACCTATTGACAAAGATACAGCTATGCGTAGGAACTATTTTGTTTAAAATATGTTCTACTTTCTTGTATGTTCTTTCTGACCGGGCCCGAATTAGTGGTTTATAACTTAAATGCTTTCGGACAAGGAAAGGAAGTTTTGTGATTTTGGTCGTTAAATGCATTACAGCTATTCATGTAAATTTTTATTTGTACATATTGTAACCAAAATATTCTGTTATTATAGTGATATGTTAAATTTTGAGTTTATTGTAGGACAGAGTGAAGAGCCTTAAAACCTGTTTATGATAATAAGGAGATGTGATATAATTGCCAAGGAAACAACTATCCAGCAGAGACCAAAAAGATGTGGGTTTGTACACTTGTTTCGGATCAGTACAACATGGTTCATATTTAAAGAGACATTTCTTTATGCTATAGGTATTTTGGAACGGTAATATGTGAAACATGTAACATAATTTTGCAAAAACTGTTTTATTCTAAGACATATAGAGACTAACGTGTGGTCTTTAACACTAGATGAATATCAGCGACTAATTTCACAAAAAAAAAACTTGTGAGTAATTCTCTTATTATAGTAATATTTCAAATTTTATGTTTATAATAGTACACAGTTAAGAAACTGAAAACCTGCATACAACAATAAGGATTTGTGGTATAATTGTCAAGGAAACAACTATTCAGCAGAGACCAGAACTACGTGGGTATATGTACTTGTTTCGGATCAGTACAATGTGGTACATATTTAAAGAGATATTTCTTCATGCTATAGGCTTTTTGGAATGGTAACGTGTGAAACATGTAACATAATATTGCAAAAGCTAGTTTATTCAAAGACATATAGAGATTAACGTGTGGCCTTCAACAATTAGATAAATATCTGCGACACGTTTAACAAATAAATCTTTCGAGTTAAAGTACTCGTAAGTCATGCACATTTCAGTAAAACTTACGATTAATCTTAGTCGTAAGACTTTTTGTGAAAAAAACCCTGCATAAAATGTCAAGTTCTAAATCGCCCATGGTCTGATACAACTGACAATACATTCAATAGAGATAATCAAAGATCTCCCTTTAACACAATATTTCCAAAAGAACAACAAAACATCACTGGTGTTTTATATGTCTTTGTGGGGCAGTCATCAAGAGAGAATTGGACATAATAACCAAGGAAAGAATAATTAATACCAGTAAAGGAGATTTCGTATATAATTAATCTTGGTATGATGGTTACTTTGATAAAATATAATTTCAATATCGAAAAGGACTACTGCCTATATTTGTAAAATATTAATGTACGTTTTAAATCAAGATTAAACCCTTTTTACGTCTAATGCACGGTATAAAAATATAATATAACGCTGGTAATAATTCCAGGTAAAGAGTGCTTTCAAAACAAGTCTCTGTTTCATTATTCTTTTGTGCTTGCACTTGTGCACATAATATCGGACTAGAATTTCTAATAGCTAACATAGAATGTTTATTTAATCACATATAATACGTTATATAACAAAGTATAACAAAAATACCGAACTCCAAGTTAAATTCAAAAAGAGGAAGTCCATAAAAACGGACAAAATCAAACGTTATACTGCATTAACCGACAGAACGAATAGAAAACAACTGTCATATTCCTAGCTTGGTACAAGCATTTACCGAAGAAAATGGAAGGTCGAACCTTAGTTATACTTAAAAGGTAAAAAAAGATATAATTATTATGTAAGAAATCAAAATGTTACAAATTATGCTTTATTATATGTTACGATACATTTCATGTTGTTTTACAATTCATTAACCATTTTCAAAGTCAATTGCAAATGTCAATCATGAAGGATTTCATTCAAGTCAAATATACATTTTTAATTTATAAAATATCAATTAAAGAACATGTTGAGAAATGCTCAACCGTGCAGTTCTAATAACCACAAATAACGTTGCAAAAAGGCATGTAATTTACATATTTCCTTTAAAATTTTATACAAAACAAAGTCCAAACTTGCGGAAGTGTGTGTTTCCTGTTAAATGTACTGTCTTTTATCTAACTAATTAATAACCCTTGTTTATTGCAATTACATGCCCTTTAAAAAAATACGAATATGGGTTCATAAAAAGCACGGTCTATAATTTGCCAAGGGAAAAAGGGAAGACCTTAAATAATACAAATAATAGGAAAGATATACGATGGTATTATATTGTGAAGGAAGTTAAATTAAATTAAGCAAGTTAAAGTGTCCTGATATGAAAATGTTCATGTCATGCTAAAATAAATAATCAAAAATCTTTCGGGTGAAGAAATGAAATCGGAAATGCTAAAGAAAACTAATCATGGATACATTAACAACTTATTATTGGGTTGATAACTCCAATATGAATATTAGCTTAAGCTAGAAATTTCTTTCGTAAGAATAGGGAGTCGTACTAATCTTTCAAATACATCGCTTTCATTTGCAAAGTACGTGTATAAAAATCTGGAATACGTCAGTAAATCACCATATTTCAAAATGATAATCGTTTGATCAGAATTTCTTCAAAATTAAAATATAAGCATGTATGAACGTTGTTTTTTAAAATATTTATCTAAATTTAAGTAATTTGCTAATCAAAATATGTTTGTCTTTCCTTGATTCTCTGATGTAAAAGTCATTCCAATCAGATGAATTTTACCACGAGGAAACCGTTTTGAAATACTGAATGTTTTCGAAGGTAAAATTTTGGTTTTCGAGCGCCGAAAGATAGAATCATTCCGTTTGAATCGGTGGTATATTAAAAAGAGATATTCCTTATTCTCTTCTGATCTTGATCCGCTTGCCAAAAGTTTTTGCGAACTTTTCACATAATCTTACTTACATGTACATGTGTTGGTCTATATTATCGGTTTTAACGTGCCTCAATACTCCGAACATCTGGTAAACAGAGGATAATACGTTCCGACAATTGTATTAATGAATGTATATACCAATTGGACCAGACGCAAATTGCTATTTTGACAAATCGTATGTATACGGCTAGACGGACTTCCCTCGGCAAGAGTATTAGTAAGGGTCTACTTCTACATACAAAATGCAAGCAAAATCTACAATATGTGTTAAGAAATTCAGTCCTATTTTCATTTCAAACAGAAACAGTACAAAAAAAAGGAACAATCGTTTATCCTATGTTACAAAAATATTCGAATATACTATACTTTTCGGTCTTCTCAGGAGCTTCCCATTCTAATAAAGGAACTCCTTTCAGGTGAATGTGAATATCATAGAGACCTTCATTAAACAAATCACCCGACCATTTGGCTACCTACAAAAAATAAAGAACATAAAAATGTATTTCCAATTATTCTCTTAACATAAAAATAATGATAAAAAAGAAACACGAAAAGAATAATAGTAATAAAATAAAAAAGGAAAATACACAAAAACATCTTTGTTTGATCTCCTTTGGTCGGTTGTTAAAAAGAAACATTCTGCAGGATGGAAATACAAAATGCTAACGTTTTTTTTATATGAAGATACATATCGGTTGTTAACTTCTGAGGCAAGACTTCATACATTAGACGTAAGTGGAAAATATATTGACTTTGTCTTGCCCAGTAAATCAAGGCAGATGTGATTTAACTGATGTTCAAATATCATTGACCGATAAAATACAGTTCAAATCTCATTAACCGATGAAATAGACAATTCAAGGTAACACACAAAAACTGAGAGATAAAACCAAATATAACGTTATCAAAATAAATATCGGTTAACTACTGAATTTTGATACACCAAAGAAATGATATTAAGGCAAATGATACCTTCATATTCATTTCAAAATGAAAACACCGCATAATTATCAATTCCAGGACGGAAATAAGATTTAATACATGCGACACGTATTATATATGTGAATTTTCTTCACGCCATGATCCTATGTACATTTGAGTTACACTTGATGTTACTCAAATTTTTAATTGGACTCAGTTTGGCCTTTTTTTTCATCAGAATCTGTTTTTTGCTTTAGATTTTCCACGCCTGCCTTATCATATGTATATGGTTTAACAAATTGTCTATAGAAAAAGAAGTTTCGGTAGCCCTTTAGTTAAACCTGTTTGATTCTATTGTAGCCTAACATCATATGGCTTTAATAGTTTATATATATAATTAGATTGATATAACACTAACTTCGGCACTCTTGGCGTTCAGTTTTGATTGTTGGAGGAAGCCAGAGTATACGAAGAGAACTACAGACGTTCGACGGAAAAACTGGAAATCCTTGTCAGTTAATATCGGAGTTGAACGCACCTGCCATGGGCAGGGTTTGAACTCAAAACAACCTCAGTGATGATAAGACAAGTGATCACTGCATTTGAGTTACTTAGACCACTCGGCCACCAAGGTCTTCTTTTCATGGCTTTGTCATATCAACGAATATATTTAACTCTTAACATAGATCGAATGCATTTGAGGTATTCTATAAATGTAGGTTCTAATTTTGTATAATATTAGTATATAATTTAACTATATATGAAGTACAACGAATTGCTGATTTTTCCTCAAAAAAGATCAATTTGCATTTCTGACAAAATACGATCATATTCATATCGAAATAATAACATCGCATATTTATAACTTCCGATCCGGAAATTAGATGTAATACATGCGACTCGTATTATATACGATATTTTGTTCGATGTAATTAATCTTTCCCTCTTGTTTTACCTTTTCTGTACTTATCTAGCTTAACCTAATTTTGCTTTAAAATGTCCATAAATATTTTGACATTTAGCATTAAGCGAGTGCATTTGAAGTATCTTAAAAATGTATGTTTTTATGCTGACTCATATTAAAGTATAACATTTTATTATTTTTGGAGCTCATAGAAATGTTTGTTTCCATAAAAATTACCATCACAACATAACCGTTTGGATATATATATGTGTTAAAAGAGAAGGCATGTATATAGAAGTTATTTTGCAAAATAGTTTTTGAAAAAAAATCTTGCGAAATAGCATTTTACAAATTCAACATATCGGAATATCTATATATATAATGCTACATTTAACATGTTACGGTCATATTCATAGCAAATTAATAAAACCGAATAATTATTCTTTCCGATCCGGAAGTTAGATTTAACTCATGCTTGACGTATTATATTTCTTCCAGTTCGCTAAACATTGAGGTATATCTTCAAATGAAAAAAAAAGTAAAAAATAAAACGAGAATATAGAAGTCTTCATTAACACACTCTTTTATGAAACAAATTATAGTTAAACATAGTTTTCATATATAGAATAAATCATATTCCGGAAATCTGCAAGTGTTTGGAATTTTTCTTTGAACAAAAAAAAACATTTGACTGTCAGAAGAAGTACTGAATAAAATCGGAAAAAGACAAAATAATACTAAAACAAAGAATGATTTATAGAAAATAGACAATTTTATTGTAAAAACACGATAATGTTAGGGACAGCAGTTAAAATTTTAAAATAGCATGTAATTCAAGAAAGTAACAGAGCAGACATTTACCATTAACACCAACATAAGCGGCAGCCCATAACTTATTTCATTGGTTGATTCAATTAAGATGACTGTCAGACTTATTGTCATTCTTACGACTCCGCCGAGGAATGAAGCAGCGCCAATCAAAGCGAATGTACCAGAGTAAATTGAATGATTTTCGTAACCTAAAACGCTGAAAAAGAAAATTAAAACTAGTTGAAACACATCGTTCAAATGTTAGAAAAAAATCGGATAAATTGCTTTGTTCTTAATGTGTCAGATTCTTCAGTTTGATAGCATGGCCTGACGTTGATGATGATCTTCTAAAAGACGCCGTTAAGGAATAAATATAGGAAAAGTACAAATGAATCTTTACGCGAAGATGCTGCTCCCTAATGTAGTTTTTATTTCTTTACAATTTCAAAATTAATGAAATACTCGTCGAAATATCAAAATTTTAAATTAATTTACAGCTTGATTAGATTTATAAAAATCCCAATTGTTTCTCATAGTCATATACCTAAAATACAGGACCATACATATACTATTACTTACTCAACTAAAACAGTAGCAACAAGTCTTCCATACGCAGCTCCACAAAGTAAACATGGAACAAATAGTCCACTTGGAACGCTGGAACCGTATGTCCAACACGCCAGCAGATAGAAAAATATAACAAATAAAGCCAAGGAACGTATACTAAATTTACCTATAAAACAAATGTTTAGTATATGAGTACTTTAAATTCTCTTATCCAGGAAAAAAATCCAATAAGCGTTTTAACTTTTAATCCTAAGTGTAGGTCTCTATGTTTGAGATCGTCTTTTTCGGGCCTTTCCGAAGCTCATGTATAATTTTGTGTCTCGATGTTTTTACTATCGTGTTAATTTTCAATATTTGTTTGAAGTTGTTGTTCCAGCACTCCTCTTATATTTACATATTTCTTGTGGTGTTTATTTATGAAAAAGTAAGATATTGTATAAATACTCATCAACGATACCAGGCTTATAACTTGGTATGCCAGACGAACATTTTGTCTATATAAGACTCATCAGTGGGACTTGAGTCAAAACAGTAGTAAGGCTAAATCACATACAAAGTTGGAGAGCAAAAAATTCTGAAAAAGTGCGATCTATGCGTGGGGTAGAAAACCTAAGTGTGACGAATAATGCAACGTTTTTAACAGTAAATGAACTGGAAAAGAACATATCAATGATATTTCAGTACAAACATGAATATAAACATAAACTAGATAACATCCAAACAATGTAAAAAAACATGAAAAGAACATTTTAAAGTCAAAACCGACAACAAAATATTAGCAAATCTCATATACAATGTTTTGTACTCGTTTGCATTTTGGCTTATCTTCTGTTTCTGTGGGTGTTTTCATTTCTTGTCCGTGAGTTTCATTTACGTTATATATAATTAAACAAAAAATTCAAAGATACCAGGATTATAATTGTGTACGCCAGACGCACGTTTCGTGTACAAAAGACCTATCAGTGATGCCCGAATCAAAAAGGTTAAAAGGTTAAATAAAGTACTTATTACTCCTTACAAGAGATTTGGAAATTGTAATCTAAGGGATTTGTAAGTGTAAAATTCTGAAAATTTTACATGTTGATTAACGTAAAATATCTTAATTATGAACATTCAAAAAGATGTCCAGTATAGACATCTTAGATTTTTTGTACATAGAACATAGTTCACCTTCTTGATGAAACAACTGTTTGATTGCCTCTTCTTGTGAATTAAATAGAAGTGTAGCCATGTCATTATAATAACCATCTTCACAGAAATATGTACGCACAAAGTCTTGCGTTGTTTCGTTTGTGGAGTTTATTATCTAAAAATGAAATTCAAATATTACAAATTTGTAGACTTCAATTAATTGATTATTTGGTGTTGATTTGTCTAAATTGTTATGTAATTCTTCGTTTTCTTTACATTTACAGAGCTACATTAAATGCATACGCAATTATTTTTATACTAGAGCATTATCTTACATTGTTCCGGCCATTTGTGCAAAATAGATGTAAGATATGGTCGAATCTGGACTTTGAAATTATTTGTTTCAAGAAACGTAAAATAGGGAACAAGATAAAGGATGTCATCCAGAACCCTTAGTAATCTCTCTTGGATTACTAAGGTTATTGTATAGGAAAATTAGAAGAACATTATATTGATATAGTTTAAAAAAATAAAGTACTTTATCGCATATTTATTACAAATACTTTGGGTTTTGCCTATGTAATAAAACCTGATTTTCCTAAGTCATATTGCTTCCCTGGGCAAATAACCGGGGCTTATATGGGCTTCCCATACAATCTCAATGGGAGAGTCGTATAGGCCTTCGCGGCTCTCTTCCGGTTTGGATAGTCATGTACAGTCTTTGAGACTTACATGATTATAAAGAAACCCAGCCGTTTATAAAGCTGTTTGAACAGTATAGCGTTCATAGAAATAAACCCATCTTTATTATTGAAGTGACGTCCAATATTATGATGTCGTTGCTAGAAACAATACATCTTTGTTTGAGACCAAAATTAATAGCATTCGAACAATTAGAAGTTTTGTAAACAGTTAAATTATAAATATGACCATATCAATGACTTATCATGTCAACACAGATGTGCTGATTTCTGGGCTGGTGATACGCTCGAGGAGGAAAACTCTACCAGCAGTGTATTCGAGCCAGTGGTTGTAAAATAAAGCTAGTAAAGATACCAGGCTTATAATTTTGTACGCCAAGACTTGGTAATCGTGGACACCATTATCATACGGTTATGCTTGTAAATATGCGGTTCTTGTTCCATCATTGAATTTCGGATTGTAGTTTGAGATGTAGTAATAACTTTTAGCTTAGTCGTAGTCTGTCCCTTTAAGGTGGTACCCAACACCTTGACTAATATTAATTTGGCTCGTTTAATTTTCATAAAATTTTGACAAAATGTTTACTTTGACCCTTTGACAAAAATATAAAAAATTTCAAAAAATTTGAACCAACCACTTTATCAGAAAAATTTCATTGGTTATATAGCAGTTTGACAAACACTAATTTTGATCATTGAGAAGCTTAATATTTCCTTTACAATACAACGTTATTAAAACGTTTAGCTGATTTTTACAGAGTTATCTCCCTGTAGTGTTAGGTACCACCTTAAGAGATCTAACGCAACATACAAGTGAGTAGTTCGTTCCATTTGCTACAGTTGTATACACGAACTAAACAGTTAACCAATATTTACTTGCTGACATCATAATTCTATAAAAAGAATTTTAGTGGAAATATTAAATATTTGTATTCCGCTTCACCTAAAAATTTGAAGAAAAACCCTGCAATATGGACAAACCGACATTTGGGTAACGTATAATTGTGCGTTCAAAAAATTCATCTAATAATATATCTTAACATGCAATTGTTTATATCCTTGTTAACTTTTAAAAAATTAAAAAGAAACAATATCGTAAAATTATGTCCTTTAATATGATAATGCAGGATCCTGATGTTGTGAACATCATTCACAAAACCGGACCATTCCAATTTGACATGGCCCCTTTTTTTCGTGCCATGAATATTCATATTAATTATTAGTATTATATCTGTGTGCAAAAGTGACAAATCATACAATTTCCATTTATCCTTGTTAACTTAAAACATTTAAAACGAAACGATTTCGTGTTCTATGATGACAATGCAGGATCGTAATGCTGTGAACATCAATCACAAAACAGGATCTTTCCAATTTGACATGATCTCTTGGATATTAATGATAATTATCGTAATTATGTGCAAAAATTACAAATTAAGCAATCTCCAGATTTGGGTCATCTGTATATTTCTTTCAATACAACGTGCACAGCAATAAGATACATTAAGAAATATTCGGGTTAGGGTCACTCTGACCATTGTTTTTGCAGTGCATTGTCACTATTTACGAATCGAAACATTGCATGTCGGGTAGGTTTCGACACTGTGATTTAATGACTATCATAACTTTATACCGGTACTTAAATGGCAGTTTGATATTTTAAAGCCTGACCCTTAATCTTTCAAGTAAATCTTTTTAGAACACGAATGTTGCTAAATCCGGATTTCATCATAGATCATTGACTATTGATTTCGTAATTTTAACTGACTACTTTCATAATGTATGGTCATTCAAAGCAACATTCTAAAAACGTACTCAGTTTTTGGGACATCCAGCCCGCAACAAAACCATGGTTTAATTTTGAAAATACTTTATAAGTAACTAGTCTGCAAGTGAACATGACTTTCTTCTACACGACCCAATTCTGTATATTGATGAAGATGCCAGGTTAAATTTCACAATTCCTGGTTGCATGTCACCCGTCTCTTTCAATCAAGTTTGTCTTCGTCTAAACGGGATGCACATTTAATTTGACAAGCAAACAATAAATAATTGATAGTTTCGATGAATATAAGGTTATAAGAAGTTACCCATGCGACTCTTTACTTACTTACTTAGTCCTTGCTATGCCTTATGGCACAGAGGGCAAGGACAAGTTTCTCCACTCTTTTCTGTTTTTTTCTTTTCTTTCCACTGTACCCCAGGTATATCCTCTTTCCTTTAATTCATTTTCTATAGTGCGTCTCCATGTTGTTTTTGGTCTTCCTCTTTTTATTTTTCCGTCTGGTGTCCATATAAGGGCTACCTTGGTCATGTCATCAGATTGTAGAACATGACAAAGCCACCTCAATCTCTTTTGTATCAACAAAGTCTCCATGTCCTTGGTGTTTGTGATCTCATGTAAGTCTTTGTTGGAGATTTTGTTTGGCCAGAATATTTTCATTATCTTCCTCAGACAGGTGTTATGGGAAGCTTGAGAGTCTGTTAATGTCTTTCTCAGTCATTCTCCAGTACTCTGAGCCATATAGGAGTACAAATAATACACAGCTGTTAAAGAATCTAAGCTTGGTCTTCCCAGATGTTGCTTAATCTAATGAATGCTGATCTAGCTTTTCCTATTCTGACCTTTATATCTCTTTCAGCACCACCTTCTGTTGTTATACAACTTCCTAGGTAATTAAATGAGTCTACTGTTTCCACCTGTTTCCCTTCTGCAAATATGACAGGCAGTCATTCTGTGTTGAGGTACATTAACTTTGTCTTTTTAGCATTGATCTTAAGTCCAATCATTTTAGCATTTTCTTCTAGCTTTCTTGTCTTCTCCTGCATATGGTCTTCGGTATGCGATAAAAGTGCTAAATCATCAGCATTGTCTGTGTCCTCAAGCATGGTACATAGTGTCCATCTCAGTCCGGTATTACTTTCTGCTAGAGTCGTTCTCATTACCCAATCAATGGCAATTACAAAAAGTACAGATGACATAACACATCCTTGCCTTACTCCTGATTTTACAAGGAAACTAGTGTCAGCTTCAGAGTTGATGGTACATGAGATGTTTGTATAGAACTGCTTAATGAGTTGCACTATCTTACTTGGTATTCCATAGTTTCTCAAAATTTCCAAAGTCTTTCCCTGTGTAAGCTGTCAAATGCTTTTTCGAAGTCTACAAAATTCACAAGCAGTTTTCTCTGCCACTCATGGCACTGTTCTAAGATGTTTCGTAGGACAAATATGTGGTCTATGCAACCTCTACCTTTTCTGAAACCGGCTTGTTCTTGTCGTAGTTTCTTATCCACAGCTTCTATAATTCTTGATATTAAAATTATGCAGAAGACCTTACTTGGAATGGATAGTAAGGTGATTCCTCTCAAATTGTAGCAGTTACTTAAGTCTATTGATTTTGGTATTGTTATGATGTTGCCTTTAGACCAACTGTTAGGAATAATAACTTGTTCCCATATTTTCTGGAATACTGGGTGTAAAGTATCTGCTGCTGCTGCTAGCACTGGATGTATCTTAAAAAGTTCTGCATTTAGTTGGTCTATGCCAGGGGCCTTTTTGTTTTTCAAGCTTTTTAATGGCTTTCTGTATTTCTTGTTTTGAAGGTTGATCTGTTTGTATTTCTAGGTCCATGGGTGCTTCAGGAATAATTGCTAGTTCGTCTGGATCTTTTCGGTTAAGAACTTCTTGAAAATGTTCCTTCCATCTAAAGTATTGATCTCGATCTGTTGTTAGTATATTGTTGTTTTTGTCTTTAATTGGCATATTTACATTAGCTTTTTTACCACTTAGTTGTTTAGTTACTTGGTAAATCTGTCCCATTCTCTGATTTGAAGCTGCACTTTCTGCTTCTCTTGCTAGGTCTTCCATAAAATCTCTCTTGTTCTTACGTGTTGCTGTCTTTACCTTCTTGTTGCATTCTGTATATTTTGTTCTTAGCTTTTCCTTAATTCTCTCAGAATGTTTTTGACATATTTTGTTGTTCACTTCTTTTCTTTCATCTATCAATTTCCAAGTTTCAGGTGTTATCCATTCTTTGTGTACTTGTCTTTTAAATCCTTGTACCTCTTTTACTGGCTTCAGTGTAGATTTCATGTATGTGCTGCCATTCATCATTGACTGATATTATGTTTGAATCGTCAGTTGTGACGTTGTCTAATAGCTGAAACTTGTTCTATTTCCAGTTTAAACTCTTGCTGGATTTTAGGGTCTTGTAATTTACCAACATCAAATTTCCGTTTTACGTTTACATACGTAGACAACTTTTTAAGTTTTAGTATGATGTTTGCAATTACTAGATGGTGGTCATTAGCAACATCTGCACCCCTCATAACACGTACATCTTTTCCACTTTCCATTGATGATTATATGATCTATTTGGTTTTTGTCTCTACCATTTGGAGAAATCCATGTCAGCTTATGTATATCTCTATGAGGGAAGATAGTAAGTACCCTTATTACTAAGTTATTGGCACCACATAAATCTACTAAACGTTCTCCATTGTCGTTGATTTTGCCACACCCGTATTTTCCCATCACTCTTTCATTCCCGGTGTTATCATTTCCATCTTTGGCATTCAAATCACCCATCACTATTGTAACATCATGTTTTGGTACTTTTTCTATCTCAGATTGTAGAGCTAGATAGAAATCTGTTTTCTCTTCATCCTCTGCTTCATTTGTTGGAGCATAGCATTGAATGATGGTTAGTTTTCCCTGCCTTGCATGGAAGCGAGCTCTCATTATTCATTCGTTTACAGGGGCATACTCTATCATGGCCTTTGTTATGTTTCTGTTCATTATAATTCCTACTCCTCCTTGGTGTTTCTCATCGTTTCTACCTGAATACACAATTGTTTCACCTGAACTTATAATTCTTTTACCACATCCAGTCCATTTACATTCACTAATACCTAGCAGGTGGAGTTTGTATGCTCTCATTTCTCTGATAACTTGAGCTTATTTTCCTGTTTCGTACATTGTTCTTACATTCCAGCATCCAATTTTTAGTTTTGTTCTCGTGCTCAAAATACTTTTCATGTTGTCAGCTTCCGTTTGGCTTTCACTGACATCATTCATGCTTGCAGATGTCTGCTGATACTCTGATCTTACGAGACGAGTTGAGTTTTTTCTTGTCCTTGTTTCCGTTACTGCATTTCTTTTATGAGACGAGATAGTTGGTCTTGTGCTCAACCCCCAACCTGGAGGGACAGTGGATTCAGTATTAAGGTTCCTGTCCTCTAGATCAGTTGCCAACCAAGGCTTTCGAGTCAAGTTATGTCCGGTTTTGTTAGAGTTGTCTCTCTTAGATAGGTTGCCTTGCTGGGCTAATGACTCCTATCTAGCCAAACTATTTACCCATAGCTTCAGCAAAGTTGATGAGTGCTAGGGCATGTCCACACATCGGTGGGCCTACATACTGCATCTCTAGGGCCCTTGCTTCTCCGAGATCCCCAAGCAGTTCAGCCTGACCTCGGAAGTTACCAGTGTTACCAAGGGAGAGGATATTGCTGGAGTCTTGGTAATGTAAAGGCTGTATACTGGCAGGAAAGACTTACATACTCGTTTCTCTTTTCGCATACAATATGCTAGCCAGCGGCTATATGAACCAGGCATTTAAATAGATCTACCGCACTAGACGCATAACATTACACTGTGGAAAATACACCATGCGACTCCTTAGTGTAAACAATGTTTAATATGAAAATAAATACAGCTTATACAATATAAATTCACATTGTGGAAAATGTTATTCAGAATCAAGCAACAAGTGGTTATATTAATCTATCGAGACACTTTAATTTGATATTTGTGAATACAGAGGTCATTCTTTATATTTTCTAAATTTCAGATTAAATGAACACAACAGTATGTACATTTTTTAATTCATGATTCAAACCCCATCGTTAGTGTTTTCCAAGACCTTTGATAGATTATATCATAAAAATTGCATTTCCCACCTGTCTAATAATATTTGTAAAGGAAACTAGGTAAATGTGAAGGGAGACAACTCCAGCTAGGTCCTCTCATTTAGTTTAATAGATGAACGATAGGTACCGGTTACAGTGCACATAAAAAACTTTATTAAGTACACCCTAACAAAAATAAATTTTAGGAATTTTAAAATTAAGTTTGCCTGGAAGAACACAATTATAAGGATACTCGTAGAACAAGCAAAACTGTAGAAGCATATGGTGAGTTTCAACCCTTACACATAATGGTATAAACACGTGGCAGATTCAAGTGTAAATGACAGTCATTTTCATTCTACACATTTCAAATCAGTCTATCTTTTTAAATCATGTTGGTACCAAGGCACTGGTCGCTTTGCAATTAAACCGAACACGTGCGATATCTAGTTTAATATTCCCTGCACTTAATACATGTAAAAAGGTGATAGGCTAAGCAATTTCATACAGAGGACAATTTGTCCTATGATAAATAACAGTTGTATGTGTACTTCCTTAAAGTAAATTCGTGCTATATCTTATACAATTAAAAAGTAATTTCTGGTCAACGATAATGGAATAATATGCAACCCGGAAAGTGAAAGCTATAATTGCATGTACTGTGCACCTAATAATGTTGTTACATTAATTATGCATACCACTGTTGGAATTGCCTTACATTCTCCAAGCAACATGGAACCACCAAATGCAAATAATGCAGTGCAAGCTGAGATTAAAACTGCTTCTAAAATCCTGAAATAAATTCAACGATCTAAATTAAGATATAAACAAGAATGTGACACCACGCCCCGCTCCAACTATCACATTCCCATGTTCCGAGAACCGTTCCGTGTTGATGTGACCATAAACTACAGAAAGGATTTGATTATTCTCCGAGTTTCCGTTTGATCATATAGATCTTTTCGTTTTTAGATAGTGAAACATCCTTGGCTTTAAATGTTTTCGGTATAGAGCGTTCCCGATGAAAATAAATCCAGAAAAGTGTTTCAGACAGAGAAAACAATTATCCTTATATAAATCAGTTCTATATATTATTATCGTTGCAATATGTATTATGAAGGAAGATTTGTGAAAAGTTATCGAGCCAACGGTTCGTAATAGTAAGTTAAAGTCATCCCTTTAAAAGTCTAACTGACGAAATGATAACCGTTATGAATACCTGGGATGATTACGCATATGTTCCATTTGTCACAGCCTCACAGCCACAATTTCGTCTTCCTTTTCATATCTTAAATCTTTGACATCATTGAAAGTGATTTATTATAGGGATATTTACTTGTCGTGTGCAACAAGATGGGTGCCACAATAGTGGAGCAGAAATATCTTACCATTTCAGTGGCTCTTTTCACAAAAAATCGTACGACTAAAAAGTTAAAATGAAATATTTTGGACCAATGAGTATTTAGTATCGTAAGAATTTTTATGAAATTATATCTTCTGCAGCATGAGTTCAACATAATTTGATTTTGGTAAGCTTTGTTTAATCTTTATTTTTCTAAGTAGAGTTTTATGGATTCGCCTTGTTTCTTTCTGCCATGGCGTTGTCTTTCTTCTTCAGATTGTGGTTGATTAGTTGTCACCTCGGAAGCTTTTAACTTTAATTTACGAAAACCTGCGTTGTAGTGAATGTTTGCATGCAAGTTAAAGGAACTTCTTAAGAAGAAAGATAAGAAGTTAGCAATATCCTTTAACTTTACGTTCCGCTATATAGATGATGTTCTCTCACTAAATAATACAAAATTTGGTGACTATGTTGAACGAATCTGTCCCATCGAACTAGAGATAAAGGATACGACAGATACAGTTAAGTCTGCCTCATATCTTGACTTACATCTAGAAATTGACAATGAGGGTCGGTTGAAAACTAAACTTAACGACAAAAGAGATGATTTCAGCTTATAATTGTGAACTTTCCATTTCTATGTAGCAACATTCCAGCAGGGCCTGCATACGGAGTATATATCTCCCAATTGATACGATATTCCCGGGCTTGTATTTCCTATCATGATTTCCTTGATAGAGGATTGCTGCTCACAGATGATATCGGATATGTTCCTTATGTCGTAACTACAATACCCTTCCCTTTTCACAAATGTGACCTACCGAATTAGACTATTTACCGGATTTGTAATAACATAAACAACACGACGGGCGCCACATGTGGAGCAGGATCTGCTTACTCTTCCGGAGCACCTGAGATCACCCCCAGTTTTTGGTGGGGTTCGTGTTGCTTAGACTTTAGTTTTCTATGTTGTGTAATCTGTACTATTATTTGTCTGTTTGTCTTTTTATTTTTGGCCATGGCGTTGTCAGTTTGTTTTCGATCTATGAGTTTGAATGTCCATCTGGTATCTTTCATCCCTCTTTTAAAGTTAAAGGACACTGGTGAGATTGATCAAAATGTCTAATTAAGGATCTTTATAAAATTTTGTTATTTCATTTCTACTTCTGTACTCTTCTTTTACGACTGTATCGGCCTGTTGGGGTTCACGTGTACCTTTTTAAGCTATTCGACGTTTTGTTTTTTGTATTTAAATGCCAGTAATAAATATATAGTCTTACAAAAAGCTTTTAATTATGAGAAGCAAGAACGGTTCTACGTCTTCGATTTCTCGTTGACATCAGCTTAGCAAAGCAATCAAGTTGTTTTCAGTCAATTAAAAACACGCTCATCATAAAAACCAGAATGAAAATTTTAAATTTTCTACGCCAGACGCATGTTTCAAAACAATTCAACAATGACGCTCGAACCAAAAAAGTTAAAAAGGCCTTATAAAGTACGATTTGAAGAGCATTTAGGACCAAAACTTCCAAAGGTTTTGCAAAATACAGCTAACATTCATTACTTATTTTTCCCATTTGCACAATGTATACTTTCAACGACCTCCGCTTATTGTATATGAACTGGATTCAAAAAACTATGTCTTCACGGAAAATGAAAGTTTTATTCTTCCTGTGCCGTCAAGGTTATTTTAATTTCACAATCTAAGTGTTGCTATTTTCGAGTCGATTCTAGTCATCGACATTACCCTTACCTGACGACCTTGTTCTTCTTCTGAACATGTTTCATTCTATATTTGGTAATAAGTTTATTGAGATGATTAAACAGTGCACCCATTACTCCGCCTATAAAACCCATAACAATAAAGACAGCCAGATCTAAAATATTCCAAAGTCGACATCCTATTCCAGTGTCATTAGAGCACTACAATAAAAAGTTTTGAAGTTTTAAGACATCGAATATAATTGAAAACTATCATAATTTAAAGTGAACGAGATAAAAAGATGACTGCTTAACATGCAGCGGCAAATATTGCATGCCTATTCAGGACAACATGCCAATAACCTGCTTGGTAGTAGACCGATTCAAATGTTTCACGTGGTAGAGCACAAGGTAGCAGTCTACAGGAAACTTGATGGATTGGTTTATTACTTTAAGTTGCCCAAGCGAAAATTTTTGTCGCCGAGTTTATCTGTACATTTGAAAAGAACATATAACCATACTCAGGAATATCATTCAGATTCCTAGCCGACCATAGACGCAGCAAATACCAATTTTAACATCTGCTTTAACCAGAGGAACGCTTCCACGAAAAACTTTTATGTGGCAAAGTGCAAGGGAGAACTTATTAACAATATATTTTTTAAAAAGGGAAGCCTGATTTAATTTTGATTTATCAATTTTTCATTATCAAGTTAATTTTTCACAGACTACTACTATGTTTCACAACGATTTAAATATACTTTATATTAGTTTAAAATTTTCAAAGTTTTGATTGATTCATAACAATCAACGTACCTTAAAAACACCAAAGTTGATTAAACCTGGCAGGTAGAAAAATCCCCAATCATTACCGTCTATTCCTGATAGGAAGAAATTTAAAGAGTAAGTTGCTGCCATCGAACAAAAGAACTGTAAATGAAATAAGGTAAAAATGTACAAATGTTACCAAAGGGTTAAGAGAGACAACTCTAAGATTACATTTACGCAAAAAGAAAATATCCCTAAGTCGGTATAACTTTCTTATTTTTAAAGATTGAATACAAGAAAAGAAATAATGATAACTAAAATAAAAGAATGGAAAATATAACTGGGAAGGATAATCACATCACGAACTTCATCAATTTTTTCTAGAGCTATCTTGTAGCGATAATGGAAATAATGCAAAAAGAAAATTTGCTAAAAAAATATGCAATTTTAATGAATTATTCAAGTTTCGGAATCTTAATACTGATCGAGAATGTAAGGAAATTCTAAATTGTGACACGATTTCTTCGAAACTTTTCCTGTGTGTCCAACAAGTTATCTACTCACTGTTCGCCAAGTTAATTTTTGGTTCCAAAAAGAGCATCCTTCCTCTAAACTAAACAAGACTCCTCCTATTGGCGCACCAAATGCAGCTGCAACGATATAGAATGATGTTTAGGGGCCATTATGATTTTGTTGTCATTAGACAAGCTTTGATTTTCTATGTCGTCTATCTCTTTTATAAAAAAATGAGGAATATTGTATAATTTTATAATGCCCATGATCACGACTTAGATAAACATTTAGAGCATGACAATTGATTACTGGATGAAGGATTTACATTCGCGATACAAAATAATACCCAATAGAATTACTACTGTACGTAATGTTTTAATCAGATCATTTTAAAGATATTAAATTTAAAAGAAGAACAAAAGGTATTGAACACAAGTTATTACATCATTAGAGAAAACATTTCTGTCACAATGAATAAAAGCAACAGTAGTATACCGCTATTCGAAATTCATAAATCGATTGAGAAAAAAAATCCGGGTTACAAACTAAAACTGAGGGAAACACATCAAATATAAGAGGAAAACAACGACACAACAGAAACTTAACACTAAAATGCAACACACACAGAAACGAACTATAATATAACAATGGCCATTTTCCTGACTTGGTACAGGACATTTTAAGAAAAATGAAATATACACAAATCAAAACAAAAGTGTTTCAAAATTCTTGTCAATCAAACTAATATGGCTCTAAAAATGTCGCTAATGACAAACATTTCATGAAGGAGGCGAAAACAAAAACTCAAAATGATCAATCAAAGTCATGCACAATCATTCCTTATATATGAAAGAGCAGGCATAATTAAATTTTAACAACAATTGAAAATAGAAAATGACTTAAAAACAATCATGTGATGAATGCAATATATTGGGTAATTATGTATAAAATCCACGTCATCTGGTCTCTGGTGGATAAATATCTTATTGGCAATCATACACATTCTCCTTTTTTGAGATACATTTTTCAATTTGTTAATTTAGTATACCCTTTATAGTTGTAAAAGACAAAGGTGACTCATCCGAAATAAAGAATGCCTCTACATATTATAGTGTGATAAATACTGAAGGGAAAAGAATCAGTCGACCACGTGAATATAATTAAGTATTAATACGTACCTGCTACCCCGGCTGCTGCTCCACCAGAAACAAAATCTCTCTTGTCTCTAAAAAAATCATTCACTCAAGATTATATTAAATTCATATTTGATCATAAAAATTAAAAAAAAGCATTTTAAAAGCTAATCCATTGCATTAGTTCTGAAGACATGTGTAACATGATTCAAATTGATAAACACTATTAACAACAAGGTAAAAATGAACATTAAGTGAGAATACTGGTTTAATCACATTTAGTAGGCGATCTGGACCATGTGTTTTTAGTTGTTGTTTGTCTTTGTTTGTATATCTATATTTATTAAAGGCAATCTATGAAAAACGTTAAACTAATTGCAAAGAATATAGTATTGCTGTTATGTTATCATATCATTGCCATATACAACATATGACAAGTCTTTGAAAATCAAACATGTCTAAAGGAGTCAATTTTGGTGGTCTAGTTTGATGATTTCAACTTGCAGATATTGTCAAGAAAAGAATGCCAAACATACAAAGGGAAACAACTACAACAACAAGACATTGTGTCACTACAATCTTTATCTTTAAGGAGTGAGAGGCTTAAATTTATGGTATGTATTTCTTCGAGGAGTCGGTTTTTGATAGAGTAAGTATTTGTACTGTCTAATATTTTTGGTAATTCCTGTTACCTTTTTCATGTATTATAATAAAGTTCATGTTCATCGTCAGTTAATATTAAAATTCGTTTTCATAATTGGAGATTATTTTGTCACATATTTTGATGGATGACAATCGCATGATAAGAGTACTTACCGATCAGTTCTGAAGTAACTGTATGTGTTTATATTAACTCTTTTAAAAGCTATACTTTGGAACTGAAATGTAAAAACATATTTTTTGTTCTTCTCATATCCTGTTTACTTCTAATTCATGATCAATTACGTATTCATAAAACAATAAAATATAATTTTAGAATTTCAAATGAATAAACTGTTTCCAAATTAAAGGGTATTCCTTATTCGTGCACCATTCAAAAGCATGACTTAAAAATATATTTTACATTACTTTTGATTTTGACTTGTTTTCATAATGATCATTATTTTCAATATTCGTTTAATTTATGAAATTAAATACAATTCAGAAACGAATAAAAGGACTAGTTTTTTGTATCAGATTATCAGATCTACATATAACAACCGATAATTTTGTTAGAATATACACTGAATATAGTTCTACATATAAAAAAAAACTAAATCAATGACATTTACCTGCGGTACTCCTGCACCAATTATAGCGCCACTGTGAATCATAGGACCTTCTTTTCCAACAAATAACCCTAAGAATAGTAAGTTTAGATACATAGGTGTTCCATCGGTATTTATCATATTAAACATGAACATATACAAATATGGAAATATAATAATGCGGATTATAGCATTTATGCTAATATTGTTACAATATGACCTACCCAATATTGTCGGTTCATTTGTCAAACATTGTATATATCCTATAAGCTGTACTTGCTTTTGGAATGAAGTATTATTAAACATGTAGAAAAGCTCGTTTTTATTACGATTACTTTCGTTTTATTTTCCTCGCGTATTTATCTTAAAGGTAATAAATACACCAGCCGAAGATCGGTACGCCGCAAAGAATCCCAGTTGGTTATTAAAAAAACCTTCTAAAGGTGAATAATTATTCATTATAACACAACAACTAACTCAATCAGTAATTTAAAATAAAGGCTAATCAGTACGTCATTGGAATACACATGGACAACACAAATGTATGGGTTACGCAAGGTCATATGCATGCATAGTCCGGCAGTGGGCGGAGCTTAAAGCGATATCTCTATAGTATACACACAATTGATCACAAATAAAAGCTAGCGATATATGTTGAGCTGTTATTGATAAGACACCCAATTAAATCCCGATTGCAGGATACATATCTTTACTATCCTTATAATCCTTTAAATATTTTATATAATATGTATGCTCGTGTATTGACTGTATTGTAAAGGGCCATGAATAGAAAACTTGTGTCAATGATGATGTGACTCTCTGTGACTGATCGTGTTCTTATCATCAATTGCAGTATTTGAAAACTATGCCCTATACTTACCATGCAATTTTTCATTCCCTATTATAATCTTTTGAGCAGCATGTGTCCATGCTGAGGAATTAACAACCACTATTTTCCTGTTTTCCAAAACCTTCAGTTCAATATTATACGATTCTATTTTAAACTTGCCACATCTGTCGTTGAAATGATTTTCCATTCTCAACCTTTTGACAAAATCAAAAAAAGTTTCCTTTGATTCTATAAGGGTGTATATAAAAAAAAATCAACTGCAACAGTGTTGTTACTGGAGGACAGTAATGGGGTACCCCACATGACGAATGACGGTGAAATATTTGTTAAAATAACGTTAACAATAGATATTTAACTCCATGTGACGCTAACGGTAGCTACAAAATTAGATATGAAAAATGACGATAAAAAATTAAGGCTCATTTGACGCTAACGAAAGCAAAAAAAAGGACGTTTGACGCCTGACGATAAAGGGCATTCCTACCATCTTACAGCCAAAATCATGAACACCCGCCGTGCAAACATGTGATTCCATTTTTACCGGAAGTTTAGCGTTTGATTGACCATTAACGTCAGCATTGTAAAGTCATATCGAATCCGGATGCAATGACAATTTCCGTGTTTGATTTCAATGATGAACCACAATGATGTTAGATCATGTTAAATGGTCTTAAATGCTGTATAAAAGTTTAAGAAAATCAAAGACCAATCTTAGATCATTTATGATCACTTTAAATGATATAAAATCGGCTATAGATCAATTTTACATAGAAACTATTTTTTTTCTCCCACATTCTTCTCTCCCATCTCCCATTCCCTTTTCTCTCATATCCGAACACCTCGCCTCCCATCTACCACCCACCCCCTTTCTCCCGCCTCCCTTTGTAGCTGTCCACCCCCTCATATAGATTTTCTTATTTATTACTATAAATAAATTGACTCGAGTAAGTTGTTCTCTAAACCTTGTATCATGCATATAGGTCACTTTATTTTCTGAAAATATGTTAAAGGCCAGGAAAAGAGTATAAATAGCAGCCAATGAATGAAATAGTGGTGAATTCAAATTTCTTTGCCACATACATATTTTTTTAGAATTACCTTGTTCAAAGGGTGATTTTTAGAAAAAAAATTGTCACAGAACCTACAACTGAACTATGTGATCTGTTGCAGGATAAATAAAATTATTAACTTATTTTATTCTGTTATATTCCTCAAACAAATCATGAAGCAGAGTTATTTTTCATTTGATAGCTGGTCGGATATAAACATTGTTTTTGATTACACAGGAAGTAAATGTTGCTATGCAGCCATGCTTCCATGCAAAGTATCAATAAACATTTCATAATTCAAAGAACCAAATAAATATGCAGCTAATTTGCACAGAATTGTAACACAATCATTTTCCCTCCAAAAATGTGTTATATACAGAACAAAGGACTTTCAATTAAATAAATAAAAATCCTGCAGCAGAATGAAGAAAATCAGTATGTGTCCCATGTACGGAAACCCACCAGGATTGGGAAACCAAAAACCAACAACTGGTCATGGCATCTGCTTTCGTAACTAAATAGCTATCATCATTCCACGCACCACGATGGATAAGCATAGTCCAAAATCTTTTGTAGTGTTCCTTGCTCAAACTTGAGTTTCTTTGATGGGGTAATTCTGACTGACCATGCCACCACATTTGTCTGTTTTGTTCATCAGTAATGCATGGCTTATAAAAGCAATATCTGCATTCTTCTTGGGATGAGTCTTGCTGTATGACAAATCCAGGTTGATTATCGTCTTCATCTTCTTCATTATTGTCTGTTTGAGTACTCTCTTCTATGATCATCTGTGGATTTTGTGCATTCCCGCCTTTTTCATTAGTAACAGCAGAGTCATCAAGAATTTTAATTTCCGAATCATTATGCCCAAACAATTTTTTTATAGTGTCTTATTCAAGATCACTTAATGCCATTGTAACTTTCACTAATTTTTAGGATTATGTAGAATGCAAACAAACAAAATATTACTGACTTCAAAGATAATCTGGTCTGGATTTTATCACCAGGTTATGTGTACAGAAAGTTGCTGACTCTGCAGGTGTACTCATGAAATTTGTACATTATATGTAAACAAGTCCAGAGGCTATTAGGGGATTACATGTACATGTAGTTATTCATTTAGCAAGAAATAAAATACTATTTTTGACAACAAATCACAAAACAAAATTTAAAACTAATTTATTGAAAAAGCCATGTATAATGATCAAAGAAATTTGCATTGATCACTTTTATTTATATAAAAATCAATGATCATGAACCCTTTGATACATTTTTCTAAGTTGGCACTAACTGTAACTGTATATCATGAAACATAATCTCCCATTTCTGCTCATTCCTTCGATTTCTTTTAGGATCATGGTTACTGAAAAACAAGATTCTTCACGAAAACGTCCTCCCAATTTTAGAATAAAAATTCCTGGTGATGATACGGTCAAAAGTAGAATTTTGAAAAAACTATAGATAGTAAAGAGTTGTTGACTACAACTTTTAATAAGCCAGTTTACAATAGTTTAATCATAGAGGAACTTTTCAACTTTTGGATTAAACCACCACTTGGAAGTGACAATTCTAAAGAACTTCATCCCTTTCCATCCACCTATTCCCAAACAAGGCGCCAGGATGTAGACAAAGGACTGTTTGTTACTGCAGAAAAATATTTGGATACCTATGGAGAACTATTTGAAGCACATACCAGTATTTGTAATGGAAAGCTAAAAGTATTGAAAAGAACTATGACAGGACATGTAGCATCTGTAAGACTGATGTGTACCAAGAAAAATAACATTCCTATTTATGGTCGTCATCATCATACCTTCCAAATGATGAGTTCTTGGTCAATCACAGGACTTGTCATGCATTTTATAGTAGTGGACTTTTGCCAGTACATTACACTAGAGTTGTCAAAAGAGAGAAGATCAAAGTTCTTCAGAAAATATAAAGAAGACGCTGAAAATGAAAGTTTTCTATCAGTTGACAATGCCATAAATAATGAAATTTCTTCGTATGATGACCTAGATGGCATCAACATCATGAGAGATTTTAGACACGGTTGGAGGAAAAATGCCAAAGATACTACAGTTGTAGCATTAAGAGAACAAACTCACAAAGTGATGGACTGTTAACATGTTACAAAGTCACAGAATAAAGTTGCCCAACGACACGAAAGACTGGGAACACAAAAAATTTATGAAAATTTGGAAAATAAAAATGTGTCCATTAAAAATCATGCACATGATAGAAATTTGGCTGTAAATAAATTTGTAAGGGACACTCAATTTACTATCAATCAGAATGACTTATGGCATGCTGTCAAGGCTGTAAAAAGAAGCCGTCGCAAAGATTTCAAAAGGTACTAAACGTTCAGAAGGTATAAGTTGGAGTGAACAGCTGGGAAATAAAGTTGAACCCATAGCAACACACATTACCTGGGCCGTCCGTAACTGAGAGAAAAATTCTTAAAAATTTACGGAAAGTTTGGATAACATTGTTGAACATTGTTGCAATAACCATGTAAATTGTCATCATTCATCAAGGTGCAAAGTTGATTCAAACTATGAGCCATCGAGGATCGTACTTACAAATGGAAAAGTATATATAAATATCCTCAAGATGACATTCTTGCTAAAGAAACATTTTATGTTAAAAGTTTTAATACTGTTGTGAACATGGTTCAAGATAAAAGAATTTGCTTTGGTGATGATCAATATAAATTGAGATCAAATTTGGCAGTATGCCACTAGAATGAGAATGTGGACAGAGACTATACATCAGTGTAGAAATCAAGAAATCCTAATGCACCAGCTACACAAAAAGGAAAGAAAATTTACAAAAAACTAACTTATAATTACAGGATAAACATTTGGAACCACTAAATTTCTAGTTTCTTTTAAAACAGAATAATTTTACCAATGCATTAAATTTACAAGTGCTAACTTTTATCAACATGCTAATATTACTGATCAACATAATTTTTTTTATTTCAACTACAATTAGTATTTACAGAGTTGATGTAGTTATTAATTTTAGACCGGATTATAAATATCTACATAAAGGTAAATTCCACATGTGTTTGTTTTCTGTTTTACCATGCTGACTTCTATAAATAATTGATAAGATAGTTAAGCCCCTCCCATTTCCTTATTGGCTTATAATTGCTATCCAACCGGATTTCTATCTAGGTCGGCCCTGGCCTTTAAATTAATATCAATTAGAATAAAAAAATGGCATGGATGAAAGTTTAGGTGAGTTTCTTTGTGATTCATTTTATTGTTTGAATACAGGAAATATACTTCAAGCACTTTGAATAGTCTCAGAAAATGTTCGTAAAAAATACAGACTAATCTGTTGTTTATTCAATGTTATATGTGTAGGTTTTTTCTTTCGTTTATCGTGTTTATCGATCTACACGTGTACAGTGATATAGGTTTTCTTTCATTTCTCGATATGGGTCATTTTCTAAATGAATGTCTTGCTATGCACAACCTTTATGTGAGCTGCAGAAAAAGCGATCAACATGTTCGTATATAGAATCCTTTCAGAACTATTTTATGTGGAAAGTAATTTTTATACTTCCTGATTTATATTTAGATACGATGAACTATTTTTGTATTAAAATCAGTACAAAACAATTATACATTTAAAAGTCACAATATCACAGGACTTATCTTGGCGATAAACGTATACGTGTATTGTTGATTTAAGCTGACTTTACAAACAATATTAAATTATTTGTGTTGTTTCTCTTAGTAGCCATACACATGGTATATAATTAGGTTAATAATTCTTATCTAGTACATTTATAAGTTGACACCATTTTGCGAACCATCATTGCTTTCTAAAAGACAGTCACTTTTTATCCAAGAAGAAATAAAACATTTGCATATTATTATAATATTTATTAAGAAAACAATTATACTAACCAGAAATTTACTTCAACCAGACATTGTGGTGCTATTGTGTGAAAAAAAAGCCAAAAAGAGACATTCTTTTGCCTCGACTTCGACACAAGTCGCATAAAGCGAGACATAGAGATTACAATCCGACGGCAGCGACGACGCTTGAACTCTTTGTATAAAGCTTTATATTTCAGAAGGTAGAAAATCTAGATGTTTAATACATTGTTTACGGAAGCTTTATGTCACGAAGTTTCTGTCTGCCATATGTCTTTAATCTAATTTTCAGGGTTCAGCGACTGCTTGCAATAGAAATTACAACTTTTCTCATTTGAGATATTCACTTATGAGGAATAGGATAACTTTATTTGTTGTATTGGATTCGTGCATGGTCTACATGTCCGTCAGACAGGGTTCACCTGACGTCGACCTCATTTCGGTGATCAAGGTTAAGTTTTCGTCCGCATCTCATACACTATAAGCAATAGGTCAACTATATTTGGTGTGTAGAATGATTGTATGGTGAAAATATCCCATTGGCAGGTTTCATCTGACTTTGACCTCATTGCATGGTACGTTAATTGGTCAATGTTAAGTTTTTGTGGTTTTGTCATTTTCTCAGATACTATAAGCAATAGGTCAACTGACCTTGACCTCATTTAAGAGTTCATTGGTGAATGTTCAGTTTCATGGTTTTGTCTGTTATCTGATACTATGAGCAATTGGCGAACTATATTTGTTGTACGGAATAATTGTTAGGTGAACATGTTTGTCTACCAGGGTGTATCTGAAATTGACCTCATTTTAACGGTTCATTAGTCAAAATGAAGTTTCCTTGTTATGTCTGTTTCTCAGATACTATAATCAATAGGTCAACTATGTTCGGTATATGAAATAATTACATGTTGCTCAAGTTTTCGGGCAGGATTCTTCTGACCGTGACCTTATTTTAATTGTACATTGATCAATGTTATTTTTTTTTAAAATTATATCTGTTTCTCAGATACTATGAGCAATAGGCTAACTATATTCGGTGTAATGTATGAAATTCAATCATTATAAGTAAAGGAGGTGAGACATTTCAGTGCGTCTTGTTTAATTATGACGACACTTTGTACTTATGATGGCTATTTATTATATGTCTGAAGATTTCAAGAGCTTTGAGCACAAATACTTGCCGATGAAGAAACGAAGCATAACACCAGACAGTTTCGTAATTCTTTTTTAAATTACGAAAATATAGTGAGTATTGCTGTGCATACGTCCGAGATAGATCTCAATTTGCCATGAACAAACTATGCAAAATATACCTTAGACATACACTTATAATACTATAAAAATCCAGAAAGCTTTATATGATATTGTTTCTTACAGTAAAGGAAGAGACGCCATTGTGTGATGCTTGTGACAGGGATAAATGTACAGTGTTTGCTGATTTTTGGTGTCGAGAATGCGTAGAAAACTTGTGCGCACCATGTGTAGTTGTTCATCAAAAATTGAAAATGACAAGCGAACACTATGTTCTGCCCCTTTGTATCAAAAAGATCATCAGTACACACATTCTAGAAATTCCAGTAACATGCAGTAAGCATTCAAATCAGTCTGTTCTGTTTTATTGTTCTGAACATAAATCTGTCCTCTGCAATCTTTGCAAACAAGAACACCAAAATATATGTCGTGAATTAGAAGAAATAAAAGGCAAAACTGATAGTGACAGTTTTATTGGAAACTTCGAAAACAAAGCAGAACAAGTTACGGAAAGTCTTGATGAACGTATTGAGGAATCAACTAAAAACAAAAACTGTATGCAAGCTGAATACAATAACATACAGGATGAGATAAGACATTTCTGTCAAGAAATTAAGAACAAGATCGATGCATTACAGAATAGGTTAGTAGAAAATTTATCACATCATCATTCGAAAAGAATAAAAAAAGAAGACGATAATATTGAAACACTTCATAAAGTCCAATCAAGTGTAAAATCCATAGAACACGATATCAAAAATGTCAGAGACCATTTAACAAAGAAACAACATTTTGTAATTCTGGTTGCGTTAGAACACGAATTACAAAAAAAGATGGATGCCCTTTCTCGTCTACCTACCGATGAGGACAGAATTCAGCTTCGTTTCCAACGATCAAACTTACTTGATTTGATTACAGACCTTGGAACTATTTCTTCAACACAAGTATCTACCTGTTCTTCGTCAAACCAAACTCTAAGTGTTGACGTTATTGCACATGAAGATCGTAGACTGCAGAATGACGAAATTTTTGCAACAAATATACTACCAGAGTCAGAGATCACACTTATGAGAGAGACCGCATTTAGTCAAGCGAGAGTTGAAACAGGTATGCACGATTTGAATGACAAATTTGATACTGATTGCCAGTCAGATGGTAACGAAACTGTTCTATACCAAAAGGAATCATTAGACTTCGAGTTAGATACAGACAATATACCTGGACCAAGTGATCTTTTTGGTGAATGCTCAATTACGATTGGCGCTAATGGGATAACAAATGGGCATGCATTAGAAAATATTGCAAACTTAGAACAAGACGAAGTGTTAGACAACACAAACGCTAAACGAAAGAAGTACATTCATTTAAAACAGAGTGTACAAATCAAGAAAATGTTGAATGAAGATTTTGTTATTACTGATCTATGTTGTTTTTTCGGAAAGGACAAAATTGCACTTGGAGATTCCAAAAATCAAAGAATCTTTATTTGTGAACAGTCAGGCAAACTGTTAAAATCATTCGAATCAATAAAAATACAGGACATGGCTAAGTCGCCAATATCGGAGTCTTTTATATTTGTTTCTATTAAAGACAAAGGCATTTTACGGTTGGAAAATGGAGAGGAAGGATACCATTTCAGTAAATATTTTGAAAACAACAAGGTATCAGACTTAGCTTCTTATGGAGATAAATTAGCAGTTCGTATCGGTAAAAAGGCAATCAACATTTTAAATTGTGGTGAAAATTGTGGTATATTGCAGTGCAAGAAAGTAACAGTGTCCGTTCCTCCTGAACATTTCGATTGTGATGCGCAAGGCAACATAGTTCAAACTAGTCAAACAAGTGATTATGTTTTGGCATACGGCCTAGATGGAACTACTATTTACAGATTCCAAAATTCTGACTTACGAAATGCACAAGGTTTAACAGTAGACAGCAACAGGAATACTTATGTATGTGGATACGAATCGAACACAGTTGTAAAAATTAGTCCAGACGGTAAAAGCCACCAGGTTGTGCTCGGAGAAGATGATGGAATTATGCAACCATATGATTTAGATTACAACAAATCAACACAAGAACTTATGATCATAAATGACGATCACAAATCCATTAACATATACAAATTATAATTTTTTTAACATCAAAATATATATCACAAACTTATCGTTGTCACGTGACTAGTGTGTGTAAAATGAGATGCGACCCGGGAAACGGACAATCTCGGAATTTAATCGATTAGGTTACATTATAAGAACTCGATGTGAAGAAAACAACGCCATATATAAAGGAATACGTGCTGGTATGTTTTGATAAAATTATTTCTGAATTAAAATATCAAGTACACTTTTACACACTTTTCTGTGTATTTTGTAAACGTTGTTTTGGTTTTTTTTTTTGTGTTTGTGTAGAACGTTCTCTTGAATTTTATCCTTTTTATACGTTGTAATAAAATTATAAATCTCACTTGTCACGTGTGCAATATTTTAAATGCTCGTAAAAGACATTTTACACAGTAATGTTCAGATTCAATAATACAATAATACAATAACTAATTACACTGGCATTTAGCGATAAAAAGGGAGTCAGTTATTTTAAAGATAGCTTTTAAATATTGACCTGAATAATTTCATGAACAAGCATAAACAGAAACAGAATTATGTTTTACAAGGAACCAGAATCCACTAACACAAAGTTGGCAAATGAAAACTTTGAATATAAAGATATGAAGAAGTCTTTTGGTGCCCTTTATAGCTTGCTGTTCGGTGTGAGCCAAGGCTCTGTGGTGAAGGCCGTACTTTGACCTATAAATGTTTACTTTTTACGCATTGTGACTTGGGTGGATAGTTGTCTCATTGGCACTCATATCACATCTTCTTATTTATATGATTGCCAATGAGACAACTCTCCACAAGAGACCAAATGACACAGAAATTAATAACTATAGGTCATCGTACGGCCTTCAACAATGAGCAAAGCCCATACCGCATAATCAGCTATAAAAGGCCCCGAAATGACAAATGTAAAACAATTCAAACGAGAAAACTAACGGCCAAATGTATGTGCAAAATAATGAACGAAAAACGAGTAGGTTACAAACAACAACGACAACCACTGAATTACAGGCTCCTGACTTGGGACAGGCACATATAGAATGTGGTGGGGTTAAACTAGTTTGAAGTCGCCAGCCCTCCCCCTAACCTTGGACAGTGGTGTAACAGTACAACATAAGAACAGACTATGAAAATCAGTTGAAAAAGGCTTAACTCATCAGATGGATACAAATAGAAATACATCTTGCAAAAACACAGTGTGGACGTGGCAGGGTACTTATACATCCCCACAACAAAAAGACACTAAGTTCAGATCTAAGAGTACTCGCAGTTACTGACAGCTAGTTTAAAGCAAATACAAACTAATAAAAAAAATCATGCATCTAAGACTAAAAAGCTTGAAAGCTATTGCATATATAGCATGTTTGGACATTTCGTATGTTTTGAAAATGGCACTGTATTGACTATTCTGTGTGTTTAACCCTATTCGACATGTATTCTGTATACTAATGGTAAATAAACAGAATGTGTAGTAAATGTTCATGGTACAATCAAGGATTGTGTTCATTGAAATTATTCTTATGACTGTGTTCAGTTTCTCAATAAACCCAAGTTCAGCTAAAAGGAGGGCACAAAACAATATGTATTTCTACTGTAGGACGACCTATCAGGTCAATGCAAACTCCTTTAAAATTTTCAACAGGAACGAAATGAACAAGCATCAATAGTATTTTAAACGTCGGGTAAATTAGTAATTTTCAGGACTGAAATACAGTTCCATTGAATTTGGTTTCTAAAAGTAGAAATCTAGACATGTCATAAAGCTTTTAACTTCTAATTTGAATCTGCACCTTCATGTTATCGAAAAAGGATTCAATTTGGCCAAAAACCCGTCTGTATTTGTAGAAGTTGCACAATATGTATGATGGGGAACCGGGTGTAAATTGGAACCTTTAATCGATAGTGATTTGTTATCTCCAATTATTCCCTTTTGTTTACTAATATGTTAACTTTGCGAAGAAATGTTATATGTAATCTATATATGATAGAATTGAACCGAAGCCGGAGAAAAAAGAAGTTTTTTTCGGGGACGATTAAACAAATCTACCATATAGCGGTACACGTCCATATCCAATGAGGAGATTAAGCTTTTATTGTATATAACGCATATCCGTTGCATATCCGTTGATAAACAAAGCGGAAAAGCGTTTTTCCCTTTAGGTTTTTTTTAACGAAAAATTTGAAAACCAGAATAGATTGATGTGCATATATGTAAAAGACAAACTATAGAAGGTTAACGATTTTGAATTCCCTTGAATATTAATTTTATATAGATTCTTTTGTTGTAATCCAGATATAGCCAACAATAAACTTCCCCCTAGCAACACGGATTTCGTCCTCGATAAACATCTACTAACTTACCTCCAGCTACACTAAACAGTACACCGATTGCTTTCGAAACCAATGTTCTAAGCCTGCCAACGTTTGGAATCTTCACACCATTTAAATAACATTTTATTTCTGGTATTCCTGAACCAGCTGCAACTGGCTGAAAAAACCAACCAAAAGAAAACGGTACAGCATCATATAACTTCTACCTGATTTAAAGACATTGAAAAATAAACAAACTAGCCCATCTTTTAATTAAAACATGAATGCAGATGCGATGCAAATAAATATATATAGTACTTTGTTTAATAAAAAATATTTAAAAAACTTTACAAAATAGATTATCTAATTAAAAAAAAGGTATAAATGGTGCTTATCAAGTCAATATTTCTCACATCTTTAATACTGATAATAAAATTTACAGTTACGAAACATTTGCATGTGTAACAAATGAGTGAAAAGAAACCTGTGTGAACTCACCTCAATGATAACTAATGAAGAAGCTATTATACAAAATCCAACATTAAACAGAAGCAACCAAAGAAAAGAAACAACAAGACAGCCATCGTCCATACATTTGTATATAGCTGTGTTTGTAAGGAAATTCAAATTAATGAAATATGTTATTCAGGTGCGCATCAAGGATTTGAAATTAGAGGGGTATGACCCTTTCAACGAGCGGAGAGAGGCGAATTTATTTATTACGTTTATTCCGCCAAAAAAAAATATTTTTCTATTTTAAAAGCCGTCCCTTATTTTTCATTTGTTTTCACTTAAAACAATGAGAGATAGGTGAATATACAAAGAAAGCGGTTTATATGCTACAGTACTTTTATCATACATCTGTATATACCATATACAATGAATTTAAAATTACCTTTGGAAACTCGTAATGTGATTAAGGTTCCACAAAATTACAGTGTACTCTTGTTACTCGTTCTCTCGAGTAAGTATATGTTATTTTATTATATCAGTCAATGATTTTTAATAATACTTATGTCGACTTGAATGGCTTTGGGTTTCTAAACTTCGTTACATATCGGAGATTTACTTTTTTCTACGATTTGATTGCTTCTTTTTTTTCTTTCCTGTTTTAAAAAACATATAAAACATGAACAATGGGGTAACAATAAAAATGATTGACTTAGATTTTAGCTACCAGACAATCTTTTTCGTCAAATAACAATTCTCTTCAATGAAATCATTAACACAATGCTTCGGATTAAAATCAAACAAGACATTACAAGGAGCAGTATTTCAGTGGTTGTCGTTGGTCACTGTAAATTATATTTGTTTTTCGTTTATTGTGTTGTTCATAAATCATGCCATTGTTGTTTTTTTTCGTTGAATTGTTTTACATTTTGTCATTTCGGGGGCTGTTATAATCATTCTTATAGCATTTCACTAGGTTCTTTCTGGTAATATACACTAGGTACATTCTTAAATCATTTCATTAGGTACAATCTTATATCATCAAATCAGGTTCATGCTTATAGCATTCATTAGGGTCATTCTCATAGCATTTCTCTAGGTACATTCTCATAGCCTTTCACTAGGTACATTCTTATAGCATTTCAGTAGATACACTCTTATATCATTACACACAAGGTCCATTCTTATAGCACTTCACTAGGTACATTCTTATAGCATTTCACTAGGTATATTCGTATAGCATTTCACTAGGTACATTCTTATAGCATTTCACTAGGTACATTCATATAGCATTTCACTGGGTACATTTTTAAATCATAACATAAGGTACATTCTTAAAGCATTTCATATCGGTAATTGGTTGATTGGTATTGTTGCATTATGTCCAGTAGAAAATAGTTCATGCATGATCAGAACAACAAATTAACCATCAATGCAATAGGTGCGTTCTTCAAGTTAAAATTCCGCCGAATTGGAATCGTAAATTGAAAATTAAAAACTATTTTAATTGACAAATTAATGGAAACCAACAACCAAATCAACCATTAACATGGCAAGATGGAACTGAGATATTTTATTACACCTCATTGTCAAAGAAGACCAAGTGCAAATCTACTGTCTATAACAGTACAAATTTATGTAAAAGGATACAGCCTTCTACTGAGTTATATTTCCACTTTGTCAAAAGTTTTACAACGTAATCGATAAAAAGTGCAACCTAAAACATAAATATGTCAAATAAAATATAAATATGTGTTTACATTCAGGAACACAAAATTGTGTGGCTACATAACGTATTTGCGTTTACTGTAAACTTTGCATTGACCATAAGCATCACAACAGGAGATGGTTATACCTACACTGCTTTAAGGGAGCTACCATTTGATTTTTAGGGGGAGGGGGGCTAGAATGAAAAATGTTGTCCTGCATTTTTTTTTATAGTTGTAATCTCTGTTCTGCCTTTTTATTTTTCACTCTATTCGGTCCTGCCTTTTTTTTAATTAGTTTATCCTGACTTTTTTTACATAAAATGTCATCCTGCCTTTTTTTTTACTCAAAACTCAAGTCCTGCCTTTTTTTCAAATTTCACCCTAGCCCTCCTATAAAAATCAAATGGTAGCTCCCTAATGGTGCTCATGTGATGCATGTATAGCAGGAGACGCTTACCATGTCAAATCACCCTGCCTCGCTCCTTTTGGAGTTTATTCGATCCCCTCATTTTGTGCTTATTACCTAGATTTGTCCTCTTAAGGATGTTCGCTCCTATTGTTTTTGACTTTTGTCAGATATTCGGAATCCTCTGGTTTTATCAATGAAGCGCCATTAAAAATATTGCCCACTAACCCCTACTTTTCTTTTCATAATTTTATTACATATAGTTTAAAAAGCCATATTTGAAAATACTATAAAATTCTTGTTATTTTTTCATAGTTTTTAATAGACAAAAGGTGCCAATGTTTAATGTACGAAAAATCTAGAGAGAATCATTTCCCGCCAAATTTTCAATGGCTATTATCTCGAAAACGAGGACACGGACCCTTCAATTATTTCTGCTTTTTTAGTTCCATTTATTACATGTAATCAATTTATAACAGTCTTTTAAAAAGCTTGTTATTTTGAAACAGAGTAGCGAACATCCTTAATCGATTTATGAGACTTAACATCGATAAACTACTGTAGCCTTACTCTAATACTAGGATTAGTATTACATTTGGGTTTAGAGCTCATTTTCAATCATTGGTCTCTAAGAATTTTGTTTCGTACTACATACTGGAGATATTTAACATATCCACACAACGTACTTTAAAATTGTATGGGAGTTCATGTAATTGTCTTAGACTAACAACGTATTTACATGGACTTGTCAAATCACAAATAACATATGCACACTTAATCAAACTTACAAGTCCTGTGAATACTCCAACAAGTAACGTGACTACCCATTTTATAAACTCTACTTTCCTCGCTGACTAGAAACGTAAACAGAAACATATATGCGTTAACATCCTACAAATTCAAGGTTAATTTGCATAAAGTTGCTATGTTGGCACAGAGTAAATTGTAATTCATTGTTCAATATTTGTGTAAATAACGCTATTTGTATTTAAAAATATTACGGTAATATTGGAGTATATATGAACTCTAAAAAATAATCAAACTCAAACTTTAGAAAAAGATCAATGTGTCTTAAAGCTTTCTGTGTTCTTGCAAAGACCATTACTCTTGGTATATCCATGTTTCTAATATACAAGCATTCTGCTTTAAACATATACATATTGTTGGTTGTATATCTAATACAATTTAAATAGTGCTAAATATCTATTAACATATAATAGCTGATGGCCATATCACTTTCCAATATTTTGTTTTACATCACCATCCATGTCCTTTGATTGTTTGTAGATAGTTGTAGTAATGGCAATCATTCCACAGCTTCTTGATTTTTTTTTAATCTAATGCTTTGAAATGAGCACGAGAGATACAATCTTGAAAAACCTAGGACTACATGTGTGCGTTGCTCAATTGCGTGTTTAGCGTTTACCAACTTTCGGGTTTTAACAAACATTGTTCCAGAATATTGACCGTAAAGGTCTCTCATAGAATAGAAATAAGAAGATGTGGTATGAGTGCCAATGAGACAACTCTCCATCCAAGTCACAATGTGTAAAAAGTAAACAATTATAGGTCAAAATACGGCCTTCAACACGGAGCCTTGGCTCACACCGAACAGCAAGCTAAATTAATTCAAACAGGAAAACCAACGGTCTAATCTATATAAAGAACGAGAAACGAGAAACACTTAAGAACCACATCAAAAATGCTTATTTTTGAATTATTATTTACATTTTAAATTTTCATCAGATGTATATTTGGGATAACGGTGAAACATGCATTTTGGTTTTGGTTTGTGATTCTTTGTTTAGCTTCATTTTCATTTCTCTTTTACTTATCAATTTTCTGTGTAGGTACGAGTAATTGAGTTTTAGAATTTCCAAAGTTTCTGTATCACACCTTCGCTTGTGCATTTTGAGGTTCTTACAAATCTATATGTCGTATTTTATACATGTAACCAACTTACTTTTTATTCCATTTCATGTAAGCATGTATTAGTCCTCTAAGTTTTGGTACAGAACCTTACCTGTTTGTCGCGTAAACTATCACAGTATTCCACAAAAGGCTCATTATAACAGTTGTCATAATTCAAACTCTAAAAAAGAGAGATATCGCCGTTTTCAAGTAAAAATTATTTGGATGATTTGTAGATACAGATACTTCAAGCTTAACTCAGGTTGAACTTAAGTTTACAAACTTTGCAATAGTAGTGGAGAAAAACGGCAAAGAACATTTTAAAAGTAATTGTAATTTAGGAAGAGCTTTATTCATTTAAACATTTATGAAAAATTAATATATATTGCTCTGTCATAGAAACTTTATTTGAAAATAATTTTTTGTGAAAAAAGAGTGAAAGTCTGTATAGTAAGTCCACAATCTTAATATCAACAGTTAAACTCTAATCACTAATTATTAGTCTGACTTAGGAAATGTTTCTCAAACCTGATCTTGTCTTCAGTCTTATTATATAGATTAAAAAAGTGTTAAAAACGAAGACCACAAAAAATTGTTGACCGTGACGTCATCAACGTTTTTCCATGGTTTACTACGGTTAAAATGGAATTTAGAATTAAATTATAAGAAATGACTGTAATATTTTTTCTGTCTATTCGAAATAACATAAAAAATGTGGTGCACACTTTAAAATAACCCGCTACGCGGGTTATTCAGTGTGCACCACATTTTTGATGTTATTTCTTCATAGACAGAAAAAATATTACAGTCATTCCTTAAATAGACTTTGGACAATAACGCCTAAATATTCAGTATACATATCTAAAATATCCTACCTCATAATCTTTTCGAGGCAGTTCCCCGCTATTATGAAACCTACTGATCACATGACCACTCTCTTCCTGAAAATGTTTGGATGAACGAATGAAATTTCTTGTAATTAATGATAAAAACTACTACAATAATAATAATTTATTTATTAATCAAAGTGTCACATATTGAATGGCATAGAACATATACACAATTTGTAATATTTGCACATGCAACAACATGTACAATAATCAATATCCAGCAATAAAAATCTGATTTATGAGACACTTCCAGTATAAAACTCTATACATTAATTATAAAAGTTAAAACGACTAGACTTTGGACAATAACACCTAAAATACATTAATCCGTAAACTTTTTAAATAAACTATTCTTTACTATATATGGTTGAAAGAGACGACTCAAAAGCTTCACGAGTTCGTAATAGTTTCTTAATTCTTAATCAATGGTCAATTTAAATATAAAAATGTATATGTACATGAAACTTCATATCTGCCTATGTAAGACATAATAGTGTCCTGTGAAAAAGTGTCCACCTGGACAGTTTTTCATAGAATTTTGGTATCAAATAATGTCCATTGCCATGAAATGTTGCCCTTAAGTGGACAGATTCTTACTGCAACAGTTATGAAATAGTTTCCACCCACAGGACAAGTTTTCATAGTAGTTGCTATTAAATTGTGTCCTCCAAGGGAAGTAAAACAAAGATCATTAAAATGTTTTATTATACTTGAATTTTAATAAAATCTGAATGATTGATTAGAAATTGATTACTATACAAATGTAAACAAATAATGGATGAAAGTGAATATAGAGAAGAAATACCCAGCTAATGACAATAAGAAGGAAGTGTGTAAAGTATAAAATAAAATGTGAAGAACTTTACTATAGTTATTATGAGAAGAAGGCAAAAGAAAATATAGAATTTTGGTATTAAATATTGCCCATTGCCATGAAATTTTGTCCCCTAAGTGGACAGCATTTTACAGCAACAGTTATGAAATATGGTCCACCTACACAGGACAATTTTTCGTAGTAATTGTTGATAAATTGTGTCCTCCAAGGAAAATAATACTGAACAGCAATTGTTACTTATTTGAATTTAAATCATTATACATGTATATATATTTAAAAATATAAATAAGAAAATACAGATAGTATGAGTGCCAAAAAGACAACTCTCTGTGAAAGTAACAATGTATTAAAGTTCGCAATTATAGGTTAAAATACGTCCAGTAATAACAAGGCAATGGATATCATTTAATAATTTAATCATATCAAAAAATGTTCTGGCGGACATAATGTCCTGTGAAAAAATGTCCACCTGGACATAATTCAAGTATTAAATAATGTCCATGTTCATGGACACTTTCTCATACCTGAGGAAATATTTTCATAGGAAATTGTGTCCGGGACACATTTAAATAAGTAAATATTGTCCATGGATAGTATTTACTATGAAATAATGTCCGGTGGACATAATTTCATGGGGGACATTATTAAAATATACACCTATGCTTATTCCGTCAACATAGGGGTTCAAAGGGAAGTCTTTCCTAATTGTAAATGTTAACAAAATTTGAGAAATAGTTAATTGATGTATACGTTGATTGGTATTCCGGCATTTTTTGGTGTAATAATCTGCTCTAATACCCTCTTAATTGCTGGTTAGGGGCAGAAATGTAATCTGACAACCGACAACCTACGGTCCGTTGCAAGTGTATTTTGGCGTACTGAGTATTTTGCACTCTCTCTACTTAAGACATCGAAGTTAACGGTCCAATTTCAACCGTCTCAGTTTGTTAACATGACGAACAGCCTAACAAGTGCTGGGTTTTACTGTTTGTCGGAAGAAGTCCATTGTTTGATACCTTTGATACCCCAGTAAAACTCGGGGTTTCCCCTACAGCAAAACAGGCATAATCATAACATTATTTTCTAACCTTTTGTCTGCTAATGCCATATACAGAAACGGTATAGCATACATGATGTTCTTAGCCTTTTGTCTGCTAATGCCATATACAGAAACGGTATAGCATACATGATGTTCTTAGCCTCTTGTCTGATAATGCCATATACAGAAACGGTATAGCATACATGATGTTCTTAGCCTCTTGTCTGATAATGCCATATACAGAAACGGTATAGCATACATGATGTTCTTAGCCTCTTGTCTGCTAATGCCATATACAGAAACGGCATATCATACATGATGTTCTTAGCCTCTTGTCTGATAATGCCATATGCAGAAACGGCATAACATACATGCTGTATACACTTATTTTGATATATTTACTTCAATCAAATTTCAAAAGGGGGCGTTTCTTTACAATAATAAACAAATACATTACGTGATTTGCATATCTCTCTAGTTCAGCATCACTTGAACTGGGGTAGTTAACAAGACCATGAGATTCTTCGTCTCCACGACAACAACATTTAAAATCCATTCGATCAATCACTCAACAATGTTGATTATTGACATTGTAATCTTCGGATATATTTTATCTCCATTCAAATGATAATTAACCGAAAGATTTTTAGATTATTAGAGTTGTCTTTCGTTGTACAGTTTTAAAAGAAATCGGCCACCGCACGTTTAAATTAAGAAACTTACTACGCATTAAATATTTTAAAATCATTTTTCAACTGTTGATAATACCTATGGCAATAACTTTTTTCAGTATATGCCTTTGTTCAGAATAGATATTTTGGGGATCGTCAACAACTCTTCAGTGGGTCCAATATATTTTACATTAAACATTTGATTTGATTAAAAGCATAACACACTAGCCATTTAAATGTAACTTTTGTTCAAGTATTACAGTTGTTCAATAACCATACATTATTTATATGCCCAGTTCGTCTGAATATCAATGCTTATTTCTAATGCTATTTTCTTCTGAATTATTGCTTGCTAAAATAAATAAAATTGCAATCCACTTACACGTGACAAGATGGATGCTTGTAAGTTACTTAACGCTTAGCAGCAAGTATTACAAACAAACTCAGAAGAGAAGTCTATCAATTTTAAATTCTGAAAAAAAGATTGGGTGCTAATGATAATGACAGCAATTGTTACTGCCACCGAAAAAAGATTGGGAGCTAATGATAATGATAGCAATTTTACTGCCACTGAAAAAGAGGATATTTTAACAGAAATATTTACTTTTTTTTTCGTTTGAATTTTTTCACATTTGTGATTTCGGGGTCTTTTATTGCGTGCTATGCGGTATGGATTTTGATCATTGTTGAAGGTTGTTATGTGACCTATAGTTGCTAACTTCTACGTGATTTGGTCTCTGATAGATACTTGTCCGATTGTCAATCATGCTGCTTTATATTCAATAGTGATTTTATGTTATACGCTTTATAGAAAGTTGTTGCATGAAGTTTTTTTTATAGCAGAAAGCGTGACACCCTCAATTTAAGATTCAGATGTCGAGCCAGACTGTTTAGTATACCCTTAATTTTTAAAGGGGAAAATGTTCTGTTTTATGAATTTGTTTCAGTGAAGGGAGGGTCATTAAAATTTCTAAGAATACCTATCTTTCTTGTTGATGGTAATCAAAATATATTGGTCACTATAGCGTTGGATAGTGATGGTACCAGATATACAGCTTTTATGATTTTAAGTTGGATCTTAGTGCCATCATTTTATAATATCATAAGTCGAGGACGCCTCCCCCCATAAAAAAAAAATAACAAAACATAATAATAAAAAAACAAAACAAAACAAACAAACAAACAAACAAATAATAAAAAAAACCCAAACAAATTAAAGATTCTGAATTAAAAAAAAACTAGTTAGCTCATTCTATATCAGATTATCATTGCGTCCTTTAATAGGCTGCGTAATGATAGCAAATCACAGAAGAAGTATATAGAATGAATTACAGGACATAAATCACTTTTTTTCTGTTTTTGTTCGACTTTTAGGTTTTGAATACCCCTTAGTATCTTTCACCTTCTTTTTATAATGTATGACTGCTAAGTTAATGTTTGTTTTGTGTCTAGTGGCAAATATTTCATACATATTCATTATTTCACAATAAATACCATAGGACGGTTTAGCAAAGTTTGTATACCGGTTTGAAAGTAGGGAATTTAGACTGCCACTTAAAAAAGAGTGTATGTTAAATAAGGACTGAAATCAACATTTGCGACAAGACCTTTAGAAAGTACCGTAGGGTAGTTTTGATGTACAGAGAGCGTAGCTTCCCAACACGAGGCATATGATTTAAAACATGACACAGTATATTAGTTACCCAGTATGCTAGTGACCAAATACGATATATATATGGGGGTAAGTAAATTCCATATGATGTGAGAGCGAATATGGAATTTACCTACCCCATGTTTATCGTATTAAGTCACTAGCACGCTGTATATCGAATTTATCTTACCGACTATCTTAACATGTGGCATTACACTCGTGGCCTATCAAAGTGATCAAGTCTTCAATCTAAAGAACCTATTTCCATTGGTATATACAAAAACAAATGCCAACAATACCAACTTGTATGCTTTTAATGTGTTTTCTGCATTTTCCAATCGTTCATCATCAGTGTATTCATCTGTTATCCCGTCGAAACGTTTTAGATTTTTCCTCAACGCCGTGTTGTTTTTATAAAGGGACGTAACACCACTACTAACTGTGTATTAAAACAAACCAAGCCTAGGCTACTAACCCCTGTATTAAATATACAGGGTCTCCAACTCCACGTGTGGCACCGGTCATGTTAGAGTTGGTGGGTATGTTTAGTACTACACAGGACTTTCCAACAAGTATATGACGATAAAGATCGGTTGACTTTATACATTGTCTCTACGTATTTTTACTGACAAGTACAATAAATTGAAAAAAAAACAACTTGAAACTAGGAACCATTCAAATGATTTTGATTACACTAATGAGACTTAGACTTAATGTTGCTTTTAGATTTAAAACATCAACAACATTCTTAACTGTAATCCATATTTGTTAAGCTACATTAATACGTTAAATTCGGAGTCAGAGCTTTGTGTTCTGATTCGATTGCCCACCAAATAATCCGTATTCAGAAAGCATTTTTAAAATCCATGCCAACATCATACCGTATACACATGAAGCGTGTAAACAATGAAAGTAGACATAAGTTTCAACATAATTCTTAAAATGTTTAAATTTGCAAATACTTAAAAACGTTGTCAAATTCTTTAGGGGTAAATGTGAATGCATTTATTCCCCTATTTTTCCCCCAATTAACAACTATTTTTTACGTTTTGCAGAGCGCGAAATTTTACATTACTCTGAAAATAAAACAGCATCATTTGTCATTTCTAAGAACACTATTGTTGAAAAAGTTAAGTATACGTGACTAAATTCACAATTTTTTGTTGTTGAATTTTGCTTATCGAAAATATGAAACAGTATTCAAGATATCTATAGATACCATATCAAAGAACCGATAGCATGCGTTACCTAAACGTCATTGCGGGAAAAGGAAGCTACACTGGAAAATAACCAAAGCTTTACCTTAAAAATTAGGTCTTGTGCACTAGTATAATTGTGGAATCCGAGAGTTTCATACCATCCCAGTCATATAGAATTTTGCAGTATGTTCACCTACCACTTTGATACGTAACTTTTGCTTTCAGAATTTTTTGAAAAATTTAGTGCTAAAACCCTTTAAAAAATTGCCTCAATTTTTCTGCTTTTTAACTATTTGTGAATAAAATATAAATAAAATTAATGCTAACCAAAATTCTGATGCAATATCAGCAAATGAAGAAATATAACTGTTGACACTGATACAGTGTAAAATCCAAATTTAAAAAACATTGAAGCTTAAAGGTCCTTTGAACGCGCCGACTGCATTCAGGACGCATCACGCATGTATATGTTTATAATATATAGAACTCAACATTCACAAAATTAAGGAGTCCTGAACTGATTACTAGAAAAAATACCTGGAAATACCCGTCGAAAAAAACATTTTTTCATCTTGCCACATGTTGGGTGGGATATAGTTAATTGTATTGATACATCGTAGTACCTTACCTCCCTCATGTTGTCGATGTAACCTGTTTGTAATTAAAAATACATTCTAGATTCAATCTATTCATTAGAACCTTTATGCGAAAGGACAGTGACATTTTTTGTGTTGTTTGACGATAATTAAACAAAAGAGAGATGAAATAACAAGATTTGATTGTGTGTTTGTGTGTGTGTAGAGGGGGCGAGGCAGGATACTTTCTTGCTGATTGAATATTCATTTTCACCGTTTGCTAGTATACGGCTTTTTCAGTCCTCGAAATTTATTTCCACTCTCGTACACAACTATTTCCTGCTTTGTTCTGCATTTTGTTGGACAAAACATTCATTTTCATCCAGTGTTGGAAAGAAGTTTTTTTCAGTTATAACCAGGCCAGAACTTTCATTTTCAAAATCATCCTTTCAGTCAATGAGAAATTTATTTTTTGAATTGTAACGAATTAAAATCCATATTGGTTCTAAATTCCTGTGATCTAATGGTCTAATTTTCGACCAGTTTGATTTGACATCAATGCGTGACTTTTCTTTGTTTCCTTCTTTATTTAGATCTGAAAATTATAAAAAAAAAATGAAAGTTTATAAATCAATTCATCATTCTATTATAGTGTGGAAACTAACCTAAAATTTGTTGCATTGAACTATTAACATTTTTCACCTGCGAGTTGTACAATATGATGTCTTCCTGTGCTGTGTTTACGACTTCTTCGTATGAAATCTATCGTGACGTACAGTCACATATATAAAAAAAAAGTGTAGATTGCCTTGATTTCATAACAGGTTTTACTGCAGTAAATGAAATAAACATTTGATAAATTTCGTGCGTCCGAAGCGCTACTCTTGATTAAACTTCTTCGGGTACGCTAAAACCTAAACATGTGAAAGCCAGGGATACAGATACAAACGCTGAAACGTTTTAAAAGAGCTATATGACCAGTAACTGCGGGCATTCTTTGATACGGGATAATTTATTTTTTGTTTTGTTTTTAATTGTGTTTTTGTAATCTATTATGTCATTATTAAAGAATTAAGTGTTTTTTTTTCCTTTACTGATTTTTTATTTTATATTCATTTTTGTACATTGTATAACAAGCAAATTTTTATTGCATAAATAACAGATCTAGTCAAAATGATGAATATTTCACAAGAAAAAAAAAAAAACGCTTGAGAACTTAAGTCGATAGGGAAGTTTCTGGGGTTGTAAAGTACGGACAGTCAACCTTTACTATATAAATTGGCAGGTCAATGACCGACGCAACTTAACAAAAATCCGTGGGTATCACCTTAGGGACATTCTTGTCATACTTGATTTTATTTGCTACATATTTGAAAAAAAAACTACACAGTATTATAAAATTTGTTGTTTGATGGGTTAAAGCAGTGCAGTCACTTTTCAGTATTCGATACCCTGAAGTGTTCCGTGGGCAATTAAAAAACTTTTACGTTGTTAAAAAGTTTTCTCCTGTTTTGCATCACTTAGCTATATATACGGAAGGGAAATAAGGATATAATAAAAATAAAATTGACATTAAACCTTGTTTTTCAAAGTCAAACTTTTAACTATTCAAATCTCGAAATTTTGACTTTTGAAATCTTGAAATTTCGAGTTTAAAAATTATCTTTTAAACGCTTCCGTACTTTGCAGTACTGGGAAGATTACATATGAAATGTAGTGCACCCTGTAATCATTTAGGAATCTTTGAATCTCATTTGGTGGCGGCAGATTAAGAAGTTTAACAGCTGATCCTATCTTACTTGCTCTCTTTCATTTACAACCATCTGCAAGATCGGAGAGGGGCACACCTGTTTCGGTTGGAGTTTGAACTCACAACCCAATGTTGACAAGCTAGTGATTCCTGCAGAAGAACAGCTTATATCGCATAGTCACCGATGGCCCTCTGGTACAGATATGCTTAGTTCAGTTTTGTCAAAAATAACTTTACATATGGTTTATATTTTTATACAGCCTAGTTACCTATACCCGGCGCTGAACTCATGGTAGGTTTTGGGATTTCCCTGTCTCCCTGAATTGTTGTTCCTTTGTTACTGGTGCAGTTCTTTGTTAAAAATGGCTTTACAGTTGGTCTATATTCATTTAATATAGCCCAGAAATCTACTGGAAGCTGAACTCGACGCAGATTGTAAGCATTCTCATGCTTGTCTTTCTGAAGTATTGTTTCTTTTTTCTTGGTACATCTCATCTTTTGTCAAAAATCGCTTCACACTTTAGATCACCCCCGGGTTTTAGTGGGGTTCGTGTTGCTCAGTCTTTAGTTTTCTATGTTGTGTTTTGCATATTGTTTTTTTACTGTTGGTCCTTTTCTTTTTTTGCAATGGCGTTGTTACTTTATTTTCGACTTATGAGTTTGAATTTTCCTTTGGTATCCTTCGCCTCTTTTTTTACAGTTGAATTATTTTTATGTAGCCTAATTTGTTACAATTGAATTATATTTATGTAGCCTAATTTGTTACAGTTGAATTATATTTATGTAGCCTAATTTGTTACAGTTGAATTATATTTATGTAGCTTGATTTGTTACTAGGCACTGGCCATGCATGTACTGTAGGCTTGTGTTACCGTTGCTGTCTCAACATCTTGATCTCCAGTCGTAATGAGGGAAAAATATATGCAATTACAAATATGAAATACAATAATCAATCAATTATGTTTCAGATAATAAATATCCTTCAGTATATACATGCAATAATGCCCGATGCAAAATGGAGACTTTCCGTTAGCAATCCTGAATGTTAAATAAATAAACTTGTTTTAGTCGGACTTCAAGTAACAACCTGTCATGAATCTGGGATCAGGGCAAGGTTATCGCGCGTTCTTTTGTCGAAATTATAATTTATTGTTCTTTTTCATACAAGGAATCGAACGACTGTCGGTCATATTTTTGAAACAATTGAAAAATGATCCTCTTCTAACAAACAAAACAGCACTTTAAAATACATATTCTGATGTTTCTTCAAGTCTTCATCACAAGTTCTGTACAACACAAAGTTTTAGATTCGGTCAATTTTTGAAAATGTTGATATGGAATTGAAAAATATGACCGATAGTTGTTTGCTTTCTGTGTATAAAAAAAACACTAAAATATAATTTAGTGTCACAAAATTTCCAAAAGCATCGACAGGTTACGTACCTGAAAAATATTTTTAATTCTTAAAATATTAAATCAATATAATGTCTAGCTTTTTTCGGATAGGTCTTACACTACGTGTTTTAATTGTCAAACAAATGTTTTTTTTATTATGATATTTTCAGATTTTAAAACCTTACTATGAGGGTCTGATTGGGGGTCCTTTATTTCTGTATTCTTAATTTTTTTAGCTCCCTTTTCTCTAATTGTTACACTTTTTGCCCATTATTCTCTATTCTTTATATATATATTAGCACCTCGTTATTCTCTATTATTCATTTTTGAGGTCCATTTTTCTCTATTCTATATATGTTTTGACTATTATTCTCTATTCTGTAAACCCCCATCCACAACCTCTGCGATCATTTAGTATACGTAGCATTTTCTGTATTTGGTAAAGTTTACAGACAAAGTAGGTTATCTTGAGAAAAAAAAGGATATGTTATAAGGTATAATTGTATACCTTTAACATAGGTATAAATTTTAAGTGATACATATAAATATTTATCTGAACTGGCCAGCTGTTGTCCCAAGCAGTGACCTCTGAAATAAATCTAAGTAAAGCATACCCAATTGTGTATCATAAAACAGATTTATAAATTGTGTATATCTGGCCTGTAAGCTATTTGTGTTGGCAAGAATTCAAACTTACAATCTCGCTTAAATGTCTAGTATTTACTTTTCCCATAAGTAAATTTAGATAAAGCGGACTTCAGTTTTATGTCTGACACGAGTTCACCCAATCTGAATTTTAATCTTTTGGGAAAATATCACCTCACATATATTCTGATAGATTTAATATTCTAATGAAAGAAATGGGATTTATAGAATGGCTATAACTGATATAACACATGACTTATGTACATAGTTTTAATGGTCATATACCTTTGTTGGTATATATAATGAAAAATGCCTTTCCTTGGTTTTAATAAGAAATGTCTGCGGTTTTATGGTATAGAATATAATAAGATATATATACATATCATATTAAGATAGTAGCGAGTCTACGTCTGCATTTAAAATTAAGCTTCATAAAATATATTAAATCTCTCCTCCATTGTGAGTTAATATCAGTGGCAATCGTTGATTCTTTTTAAAAGTTTCACTTAAAACTTCAGCAATTGCATTTTTTTTATCACTTCTATACAACACTTAACTCGTTGATATATCATTGTTTCCTCTAAACCAAATAAAAATCACAACATGCATAATATAATAGGTATTGGTTGTAAATGGCGGATTTCTGTACTACCGGCTTGGAACAAGAGTGAGTTACAATTGCTTATATCCACGTCATTAGAAACTCCGGTGGATAGGTGTCTCATTGGCAATCATATTACATCTCCTTATTTCTATATACAACAACAAAGTACGACAACCCTTTAAAAGAGGCGTCACATATTGCATTATGGAAAATAAAGAGAGCGTCACCACTCTCTCGCCAACACGTGACAGAGTTTGAATGTAAACATTTGGAAATGACATAACTGCAATTTTGTTTACACAGTCCGATTAATTGATTGATTGATTGATTGTTGGTTGCTTAACGTCCAGTGGCAATACACAGTCCAAAGTCAAACTAATGTTTTATTTGCAACGGTTTTTAAAAAATCCAAGTAGCAATACTTGAATACCACATCTACCGTTAGGTATTTGTCTAAAATAAAATTGGAGGTAAATGTCGATGTGACATCAACCTAACGACAAAAGTATCCAAAAGTCATCTAGAGAAAACATACAGGTATTTATACATCCCTGGCTTTTTGGATTTAGACGTTCCTGGTGAAGGTGTATTCAGAAAAGTGCCCCCGACGCACACAATTAATGAAGTTTTATTTTCATATATAGAGTATCCAACAAAAGACAAGTCTCATCACAATGCACCAATCTCTGTTGTCTGGCTATATATATTGGAAAACTCCATGCAAAAATTTGTTACACTATATTTGCTACGTTAATATCTCCCCCTTTTTTCAAATAAAGAAATTATTCTGTTCAATATATGTCCTTGCGTGTCTGTTAAACTTACCAATTACAATACAAAATTGTAATTCCGAAATATCATTACGAAAATTTCAGTCAAGCATCTATATTGTTTTCTAAGATTTCACATGGAAAACTTCTCACAAGATGCAAAAACTGTATTTAAATGCATGCAAGCAAACAGTGAATAAACTGTTGGCTGACTGAATACAGTTTTTAGACACATAAAATAAGTAATTTATTCAACTTCAAACAAATATGAAACTTAAAATATTTTCTTCAATAAATTCAACATGCATTTTCCAAATATCGTGTCTTAACGTATTGGTTTGTATTCAACGCACAAATTTTCACAACATTTATTCTTGACCCATCATGTTTTAATGAACTTATAAGTGTTTGTAAAGTTTATAATAGCGTTCTTATTATGCCGATTTTGTAAATGAATATTTATCAGAAGTCAGTATGACATATTATCGGCCCTTTGACAGTTTAATGATTATTACACGGGTCAAATGCAGGCTTTCTGTCGTCAAATGTCAAGTTCTTCAGACATAATATTTTAGTAGAGCAAGAAACCAAACATCTACCTATTATTTAAACTAATATTTGCTCAATAAAAACTCTTTTTTTGTCAGCGTTTGACACCGAGGACCTGTTACTTGAGACTTCAAGTTTAATATATACGAATTCACTCTTTTTTTTTTATTTATCTTGAAATCTTGAAAATTTTGGTTTTTTTGTGTGTGATATAGCAAGGATTTTTTTGGTTACAAAAGTATTTCTATACAAATATTTGAAAATGATAACCAGTAATTTCACATGATTTTTTATATATATATATTGGTAACCATATCCGTAAAATTTCCGGTATGATATCTATTTCAGTATTAAAAATATGCATTTTCATAATACGTCATAATACATGCACCCGTAAATAATTGATATGTTATATGAAACTGTAAAAAATAAGGAAATGACTAATATTTCTAAAGAAGAAAAGACTGATAGTTTATTTTTAAGTCGGATGAAAAGATCTAGTTTCTTTGGAACTATTCCCAAATTCATATTAAACATAGGCCACACTCAATTTAAAGCGTATTATATATATATCATTAAAGTTTAAATGGGATTTCTTGATTGAAATCTCGAGACGTGAAATTACACAAAATTCTTTTTGTTACATTTTGACATCCCGTAAGCAAAATTACATGTATAGCTATTTTATGTGTATAACAATTACTTGTTGACTTTATCCGACTTTAAATCAAACCTTATCTAGAAAGATCTATGTAATAAAAAACTTCCTTTACGATATTGATAAATCTGACCAAGAAATAACATGTCAAAGAACTTATTCATCGAATATCCTCGGGCATCTTAGTAAATGACGTGATTTTCCACTTTCCGAAACGACTGTTTTCTTATATCAGGACCGGGCTTGCACGCGACCCTTTCAGTGATTGGTCAATATAACTGTCAGATTTTATTTGGACTCGTGACCCAGTCGTGTATATCAAAATTTTCTTTTCTCCGATTATCCACGTAATACATTATTCGCGTGCCAGGATTTAATCACATAATTTTACTTACCTTTAATATATGTAAACGTACACGCATGTAAGAAATAAAAGTTTGCATTGAAAACTTGTTTTGTTGTGTTGATTTCAAATGGCACCAACAGATGAGGATAAACGTAAAATTTCAGAGGGGTCGACACCAGACCGACCAAAGAAAAGAGTAAGTCTTTAATTATTCAACGAAATTTTAAAATATGTATATATATATATGAATATTAATTGATACAAAAAGATATGAAAATGTATATTAAGTAGTATCTGTTAAAATTTATTGGTATTTCAAATTCATTAATTTAAAAAATGAAAAGTGTCACATTACGTAAACAATGTTCTGAAAAGATGTTGATAGTGATAAATATTAAGTGCCATTGTACTACACATATATATACATACATATATACTATATATTACTGCCAAGCACATTTAGGCCTACTATAAGTCGACTACCTCAAGTGTAACTCTAGATTTCATTTGTATCCGACGGATGTCCGC